TTACCTTATACATGTAACAGATTTCCATGACACAATCCACGCTGTCATCGTTCAGTTTTTAAACGTCCTTATGCAAAGTTTTAGTTTTAAAAAAAATTCATTACTTTTGTAGATGAACCCTTAAAAGCGCGATTGACGCACTTCACAGTGTCTTAGTCATGCAAGAGTAAGCCAGCTTACGAGCTAAATGACTTAAGTTTCTTCTTCATGTAACCTTTTCACTGTGTTAAAACCTAACAACGTTTAAATCGTCATGCAGCCAAGGTTTTGTTGAAATAGACCTTAACTGAGATGATACAGTTATGTCCTTATTGCATTTTAAATATTGGTGAAGCTAAGCAAAATAACACACTGATATTTAACGTTAACATGATATAAGAGGTTTCACGTGAACCCTTTTCTCACTGAAAAGCGTAAGCGGAATTCATGCCCCAATAAAACATTTAAAACATTTTAAGTGTACGAGATTATTAAGGTGAGGGAAAGTATGATACACACCTTCCTTGAAACTGTTCACGTTTAGAACCCTTAAGATTTTATGGTTTACTGTTTTCGTCTCAAAAAAAAAAAAAGACATTTGTATTGTCAAATCTGTCTTGGTATTTTGTATTGTTCTGCAGTGTTTTTTATTGTTATTTTGATTTCAGTAAGCCACATTTTCCCAAGGATGATAATGAAAAGAAAAGCCACGGCCGTAGAAACGAAACCACCCTTTACCTTCTTCTAAAGACATGCTGAAAATTTCCCCAGAAACGAGAACATCAAACTTCAATTAGCCTGCGAGCAAGCTCTCTATTTTGGGCGAGTCGCGAGAAGTCACGCGAGAGCAGCACGCGTAAGGAGACACGAGTTCGAGGGGCGGGGAGAGAGGCGCGTTCTTTCCCGACTCGCTTCCCTCGCCATAAATGGAGAACTTGCTAGCAGGCTAAACTTCAACAGCTGTCTTGCGCGCTATTCATTTTCATGACAATTTCGTTCGATTGTAGAACCTTAACGCATTTCGCGGTTTACAAGCTTTATTGATTACTGTTACTATATTTTCACTTCAATTCTGATCTAGCAAGGTCTGAAATAGGATCCTGAAGCAGACAGGGAATTCGTGAAAATAACGCGTTCTCACCTAAATATGAATTGTTGGCGCTAGTTTTCCTATTGATCAGCACCCTTCCAAAGCTCTTATTTCATTGGTCCCTATAACATGCACTCCCTATTGTTTTCAGGGATAAGGGCATTGTTATGTCACCATCCATATTGTTTTCTGAGCCAATCACAGACCTTTCTCCCAGTTTCAGAGCAGAATTAGAATTGGGTAACAAATGAATTTCACCTCAACAACAACAACAACAACAATAACAACAAAAGAAATAGTTCTTAAGTCCGCTTGCGTTTAATGGTTGCGTGCAAAGCCAACGAAAAATTGTCCACTAATAGTTTATGTCGTCGATATTACAAATTGCAAATACAACACAAGTTAATGAAGGAGTTAGGGAACCATATGATACGTAAATTAAGCAGCTGAAATTTTCCAAGCTGGTTATTTAAAACCTACTGTTAACTAAATATGATTTTTAGGACGTGTGGGAAATATAAAACATTTCACCACCTTTGAAGAGACGAAACACTTTGTAACTCTTTCAATAGCGACTGTGAAGCTCTTATGTCCTTATGTTAACGCCAAAAACTAGAAGTCTTTAATTTTGAAATATTACGGCATTAAGCCTCAAAATATTCATCAAAACTAAATGGGCTAAAAGACTAACGAGGAAGAGTTTTTCTCTAATATTTCAATCGACCGCTTTTAGTCCCAACTAATAAGTAACATGTCATTTTGCAGTATATTTTAATGAATAAGACGTTCTTTTAAAAACAGCATCTGGAGCAAACACAAGGGTGAAGGACAGTTTTGTCCTTTTTCGCATTTCGCTCGTTCGAATGCAATATAGCTATATAGTGGCCCGAATAAAGAAAAAAAACTTCAAGTATGGCTTCACTGTAAAAGGCGGGAAAAATGCTGGGGCAAGCTTCCTGTGTTTCAGTTGAAATTACTTTAAACAGAACTTCCTGTTTTTAAATTGATATGAAGCTAACAAAAACACATAACAATTTTACAATTTGCCTTGCAAATAACCAAGAGATCTATTCTGACACTTAGACCAGCAATACTAAAAGATCAGTTGCTGCATCATTGTGTTCAGATGAAATGTTTCATAGTGGCCTAGTTAAAGAGGAATTTAGTCAAATTAGTTATCAAACGCTACCTTATTGAGAGTAGTGGAGTTCTAACAATAAGTCAATCCGCTACGAAGCTCTGGTAGAAGAAGTTCACGAAACTAACTCTACTGAATTCATAACACATCAAACTCTTGCATCATCTGATAGGAATTTAACTGGCTTCGGCACAAATCCAAAAACGACAACAAATGGAATACTCGTATCTCGTACTTTGCCTTTTAAATGCATTTTTATCCTACACCGCCACCATGCTAAACATTGTAAAAATCCACTCGATAAGAAAAACTCCGAACTTGTCAAAGAATTTAAAAACATTGCACCTGAGCCTGGCTGTTTCTGATCTTGGTGTTGGGTTACTAACTCAGCCAATGGGAACTCTAGACTCAAGAACACAAACAAAAGCGAGAAAATGGGTCAATTTCGAATTATCAAAATTCATACTTGGCTCGGAGGCTGCAGGGAATAAAACAGAATAGAATTGAGTAGCAAATGAATTTCATCTCAACGTCAACAACAACACCAACAACAAAAGAAGTAGCTCTTAAGCCTACTTGCGTTTAATGGTTGGTGCAAAACCAAAGATAAACTGACTGTCCACTAATAGTTTATGTCGTCGATATTACAAATTGCAAATACAACACAAGTTAATGAAAGAGTTAGGGAACAATATGATATGTAAATTAAACAGCTGAAATTTTCCGAGTTGGTTATTTAAAACCTACTCTTTGCTAAGTATTATTTTTTAGACGTGTGAAAAATATCAAAAATTTCACCACCTTTAAAGAGACGAAACACTTTGTAACTCCCTCAATAGGGACTGTAAACTCTAAATGAAAAGCCCTTACGTTAACGCCAAAAACTAGAAGTCTTTAATTTTGAGATATAAGGTTACTAAGCCTTAACATGTTCATCAAAATTAAATGGGCTAACAGACTAACGAGGAAGAGTTTGTTTTTTTAAATTTCAATCGACCGCTTTTCTTGTCCCAACTAATAAGCAACATGTCATTTTGCAGTAAATTTTAATAACTTTTTTTTAAAATACAGCATATTGAACATACACAAGGGTGAAGGACAGTTTTGTCCTTTTTCGCACTTCGCTCGTTCCGATGCGATATAGCCATATAACGGCCCTAATAAAGAAAAAAAAACTTCAAATATGACTTAATTGTTAAAAGTGAGAAAAATGGAGGGGCACGTTTCCTGTGTTTCAGTTGAAGTTACTTTAAACAGAACTTCCTGTTTTTAAATTGGTATGAAGCAATACTTAACGATCAGTCGCCGCGTCATTGTGTTAAGATGAAATGTTTCATAGTGGCCCATTTAAAGAGGAATTTAGTCAAACTGCTTATCAAATGCTACCCTATTGAAAGTCGTGGGGTTCTAAAAATAATTCAATCTGCTTTGAAACTCTGGTAGAGGAAGTCCACGAAACTAATTCTACTGAATTCATAAAAGATCAAACACTTGCATCATCTGACAGCACTTTAACTGGCTTCAGCACAAATCTAAAAGGACAACAAATGGATCCCTCTTATCTCGTAGTTTGCCTTTTAAATGCATTTTTATCCTACACCACCACCATGCTAAACATTGTTACAATCCACGCCATAAGAAAAACTCCGTCCTTGTCAAAGAATTTAAAAACATTGCTCCTCAGTCTGGCTGTTTCTGATCTTGGTGTTGGTTTAGTGGCGCAACCTTTGTATGTTGCAGGTCTTATTATGGAGTCACGGCTAAACATTGAAACTAGCAAAACGTATAATGCCATCAATATCGCGTTTCTTGCCTCGGTGACTTTATTTGGTTTCGCTACGGTGTTTCTCGTCATTGTTCTTTGTGCAGAGAGATTTATAGCCATTCATTATTACCTTAGATATCAAGAACTTGTGACACACAAGAGAGTTGTTGCTGTTGTCGTCTCAACTTGGGTATTAGGCGGACTGTTTTTGTTGACGGAGCTGTGGATCCCAAAGAGTATTATGCTCGTAGTTTTTGGCATTACAGGACTTGCATGTATTATAGCTGCCACTTTCTTCAGTATCAAAATTTACTTGTCCGTGCGACTTCACGTGAACGAAATGCAAGTGCTGCAGCTACAACATGCACCACAGAACGCTCAAATGGTTAACGTTCGAAGGATGCAAAAGTGTGCGATGATGTCAGTTTACGTTTGCCTCGTTTATACGGTTTGCTATCTGCCAAACATTTGTACATTCTTTGCTATTGCCTTCACTTCTAGACCAAGCACTGGCATAAAGCATTTACAGTTTTACACTCTGACACTGGCCTCCCTTAATTCGTCGCTTAATCCTGTGATCTACAGCTGGAAGATGAAACACATCCGACACACCATCATTGGCTTTATACGAAATGCATTTACAAAGCAAAACTAAAGAGAGCTTCAAAACAATCCATATGGAAATAATAAACGATATGAAAAAACGACAACAACAACAAGAAACAATAACAAATGTAAAATCGTGTTATGTTAAACTTACAATAAAAAAGGATATAACAGAATAAGAATAAAAATGAACAATAGAGATTATTGTAGTTCTCGTTAGAATCAATGATTTAAAAAACAATTTGCCTCGGAGTAATAATTCATATATTGTAATGAAACACGAAAGTTGTCAAAACTTTTTTAAATCCGTCAATAAATAAAATATAAAGCATTGTGGTTTACCTCCTCACCCACCCCTACAGATAAAAAGGAAAGTAAGAAAAGGAAGTAAGGAAAATCACACGCAGGATCTTATCAAAGCCACCGAGACGATGAAAACACCCGCTGAAAACATCCTCGAGATAACAAAAGGTTTAAAACATCTTTCCTAGACTTGTAAACCAAGATGATAGTTATCACACTAAATATAGTAACGATTGCACCATTTTGTTTCCCTCGATCACGATTATACGACTCAGTGACTGCGCGTCTGCACGAACAGAAATTCATTTTTTTTTTTTTTTTTTTTTTCGTGGCTTCTAAAAATGCGTGACGGCGAACTTTAGACTGAAAAACACAAACAAAAGAGAGAAAATGGGTCAGTTGCGAATTATTAAAATTAACGATACGGCTAATTCTTGTTCATTATTTTTTCTAGGAGGGAGATTGTAGCTGTGCTGCTGGACTGGCTTGTAGGCTGACCAAAAAATTCATTTACCAGGGGAAAACAATGCATGCCGCCAGGTGAAGCGATTGAAGTGGAAACCGTCGACCTGAGTGATCCTTCAGCCGATACCCCAAGAAACAAACGGTGGCTCGGTAGCAGTATTTTCCAATGTAATGATGGGTCAAAATCTAATATCACTATTAATATTCTTCGACTGCGTAACAGGCATAGGCGGACTTTGTGTGTTATTCGTTTGTGATTCGCAAAAGTAAGGGATGCCGCTCGAAAGCTGAACCGGGGTCAAACGAGAAAACGATGGGGGAGGGGGTAAGCCTTCTATTTCTTGCCCCCTTCCACATTGTTTTCTCTTTTGACCTATTAATTCACGAAAGAAGAACGAAAAACACACCAAAACTCTCCTGCTACGCAAGCTACGTCAGACAAATTATAGGCGGCCAATTTTCAAGAGGCGACTACTAATTTTTTCCTGACTTAATAGAGCGGAGAAGTCGTCACGTCACGTTGCCATGGTAGCAAAATGTCCGAATGACAAGAAACCGAACAACAATTTCCTCTTAAATACATTGAAAACACTTTTAGGCTATCCACAGCACTTTTAGATCTCTTCAAAAGCATTCTTAGTGTCGCTATAAAATTTGTATCTGTTCGGTAATCCTAGGGCAACTTCAGTCTTTTCGAAATTACGAGGGCTTCAGTAATATTTCACCGATAGTTTTAGATGCAATTTAACTTGTTACGAATGCCAGAATTTTTCTGATTTCTCTCTTCATCACATTTTTGAGTCCGAAAATTTTAGGTTTCTTTCTTCTTACGAAAAATAACCTAACCTGGGTAGTGAATTGTGAAAAATTAAACTTTAAAAACTTTATTAGATGAGCTTCGAAAATTGTACATGACTGGAACGGTCATCTAGAAGTTTTTAGCCGTCCTCAAGTAATAGAAAATTCAAGACAATATTCGCTTCTCCGATCAATGAGATATTTTAAAGAAAACAGTCGTTGGGTGCCCTTTGTTTTCACGTTTCAAAACCAATTTTATTTTTCCTTGCAAACACCTGGTTTTAAATGCAAATCGCTATTAACAGTTTAATGGTTTGCTGATCAATGCATTTTATAATTACCCGCTAGATGTTAACTGTCCTTGTGTAAACAGGAAGTTTTTCTGAGGGAGAACTTGGACATCTAAATGAGCTTGACTTTTTAGATTTTAATTACAGATCTGTTAACTTATCGAATATAGCTTTATTCCTAAACGTCGAGTACTTAGCTACTGTAGCAATTTTTCCAAAATATCTACTTTTTTCGCTGTTGCAACAGGAAAATAATTCTAAGGCGCAAGGGGATTATAGTTACGCTGTTATACTAACTGTGAATATTAATAACTGTTAAAGACAGCGGGCACTAATGATTTTCCCGGCGAGTACAAACTGACTCTTTATAAATTAAAGTTTTCCGGCGTTTTCAGCAATCTTAATAATCGGCAAACATCTTTTCTTACTCTACTTAGATAAAATAAAATAAAATCAAAAAGACACTTTCAAATTTCGACTCAAAATCATGGATTAAGCCCTTTAAAATTCGGAAGCTTCAACATGTTCAAAATTCTGCCGCTCGCCTTGTCAACCAGTGTCCAAGATTTTGCCATATTACTCCAGTCCTGAGGGATCTTCACTGGCTACCTGTCTCCTTTCGTATTGAATTTAAAATTACCGTAAAATTCCGAAAATAAGCCCCGGGGCTTATATTTTTCAAAGGCCCTTTTTGAGGGGCTTATTTTGGGAGGGGCTTATATTCGGAGGGGCTTATCTACGGAGGGAAATTTGCGTTTCAAAATCGATAGGGCTAGCCTTATTGTTGGAAGTAAATTTAAAGTTTTTGCTTTGTTTTACTTTGTATTTGTGGGCAATTTTCCAAGTACAAGCCCCCGGGGGGCTTACATTTGGAGGGGCGATTTAACGGAGGGTTTTTTGCGTTACTGGTTTGGGGGGCTTATATTTGGAGGGGCTTATACATGGAGGGGCTTATTTTCGGAATTTTACGGTATGTTAATTACTTACAAAGTACTACATGATCGAGCTTCAATCTATATACAGGAACTCCTTCAATTGTATACACCCAGCTGCAATCTTAGATCCTCTAATAGAAATTTATTGGTTAAACCCTAGTTTAATCTCAATTCCTATGGTAAACGAGCTTTTTCTGTTGCTGCTCCGGAACTTTGGAATAACTTACCTGAGGATATTAAATCTGCAAACTCAATTGATGATTTTAAACACAAACTTAAAACATTTCTTTTTATGCGAGCTTATGAATCGTGATGTTTTTATTTGTTATCTGATTTTTTATCTATTGTGTACATTTATCTATTTTGTAGTTAACATCTAGTTTTAATGTCAATTTCTTGTGATTATTTTTACTTTTTAGTTTTATCTAATTTTTTGTAAACAGCGCCTTTGAATCTTGTAGAAAAGGCGCTATATAAATGGATTATTATTTATTATTTAAAAAAATCCGATATGGCCGCACCCAAAATCGACCGAACTCTTTTTAAGCGTTCTTTTCGCCCTTCTTAGTGGTCTTAAACATTGTCAAACATCTTTCATTACTCTATTTAGAAAAAAAAAAGATCAAAGTAAAGGGATAACTGATCCGATGAACAATTTGTGTCCTGTCAGCATAGGTCGTGTGTGCGGGTATCAACACAGCGGCACTGTTCGTGGCAAGCCAGTTGTCTTCCCACTGGAGATGTTGTTCTGTTGCATCTTTTCTCCATCACTGTTGGTTAACTCAACAGCAAAGACACTTACGAATGGTGTTTTGTACTTTCCGTCTGATATCTTTGATCCTCCAGCAGTAAAGGACTGGATTCAGAGATGAATTTAAAAAGACGAGACAAACGGAAAATTCATCCGCGATTCTTATTTCAATGGAATCATCTATATTTCCAAAATGCAAAAGAAATACCAACACGATTCTAGGACCATAACAAGCAAGCATAGCAAACTGTATCCAAGCTACGCTATACACTGTCTTCTTGTATCGTGCTATGTTCAGTACACTTCTTGCTCTGCTTGACTGTTCTGGTTGAACATGATCTCCCACTTGGGCTTGTTGATGACGGAGGGTGAAAAAAATCTTCGAGTACGAAAATGTTGAGACTATTATAGAAAAAATGGTAAAAGCTCGGAGGGTCCACCACGAGGCAAGTTGTAACTTATCATGAGATAGGATCCAAGCGACGCAGAACAAAGAAGCGTTTGAAATAGCAATGAACCAAACACAACAGGGGCACCCAACGAGCATATAGTTCAAAACCACTTAACAAAGCATTGTTGAACGTATTTTAGTATTTAAACGGTAGATATAGGCATATTTTTATCCCCTAAAAACTTTTCATCTGTTCGGATTTCCTAGCTGAAAGTCTAGTGATCCGAAAATTATAGGGATCAAAACTTACCTTTTCGAAAATTTTAGCCAGGAAAAGGCTCCCGAAAATTCTAGGTTGCCTTCTTTAGGGTAAATATCCGTTTAAAATGGGTAATTATACCATTTTGTAGATGTTCGAAAATCCTAGGAGAGGCAGGCAAGCAAGAAATTTTACAACAAATGTTCCGAAAATTCTAGTTCTCAAATCGTCTTCCGAACAGATATTTTCCCGAAAATTGTCGTTGGGTGCCCCTAACACAAGCTATGAGCACACGAACTCGGCATAAAGTTACAACGTGTCTGTATCTCAGGCCCAATAACAGAGCGAGAAGTCTGTCAACACTGATGGCAGCCGATGTTAGGATGGATACCGCAACCAACAGGCAAATGATAAACACATATACGTAAGCTAGTTCTACGATGCGGTTACCAATATCAAGAGAGATTGTAGTGTACCTAACGTAAACGTGAAGTGGTTGACCAAGAAGACCAACACTAAGATCAGTTATCGCCAGACATCGAAATAGGAGCTTCGTCGGTGGATGAATGGAGGAAACGTTTCGTAGAGCAACTAGGATGAGAATATTGCCCAGAGTTGCAAAGATGGAAAGGAAAATGTTCAGGGTTGTAAGAAATATCCACACTCCGGATGGTATCTTCGCTATTACAGATGCTCCATTAGAAGTGTTGTTTGCCATCGGTTTTGAAAACCTCGATCAAGCTTTATGCAAAGGAAACGCCGATTTTAGTTAGATGGAAAGAGAAATGTTTAAGGATATGCCGAGAAATATGTGAACTCCTTCGTAACTTCAAATGTCTCATTCGTATTGCTTGCAATTGGTGTTGAAAGCCCCCGATTTAGCTTTATGAAAAAGAAACGTCGATTTGAGTTAATGTTCAGTTTCTTCAGCTGTAAGGCTACAGAGGACGGATGAACTTCCCCGGACAAAACAGCTTGTGAACGAAATAGTTAATTCACTTGTGACAGATCTAGACAGAAACTGGCAAGTTAAATTAAAAAATAGACTGAGACTCCAAATTCACCTGCCGTTGTATGAAACGTGTCACTTACTCTCATAACATTTTTTAGACAGGTTCACTTGTTGAAGGCTATAAGAAATATCCATACTCCGGATATTATCTTCGTTGTTACAAATGTTCCATTGGTGTTGATTGCCATTGGTGTTGAAAGCCACTGACTAAGCTTTATGGAAAAGAAACGTCGATTTGAGTTAACGTTAGGTTTCTTCAGCTGCAAAGCTACACAAGATGAACTTCCTCGGACAAAACAGCTTTTCAACGAAATAGCAAATTTATTCAGTTTGTTATAGAGGTCTATAAATAGGAACTGGCAAGTTAAATTTACAGTTACTTAACTACAAATTAACCTGTCGTTGCATCAAACGCATTAATTAAGCCGATTCCTAACATTGTTAAGACAGGTTGACTTTGCTGCTCGCTAAAGAACTATCCAAAAATATTAATACAAAATAAGATGTTATATGTACTTTGACGACATGGATATCGTAAAATAGGGGTACACGAAAAATGAATTGGAGGTTAACAAAACACAGTGAAGGAGATATGCTGTCATTTCAACTAGAACAAATTATTGAGTAGTAGTTTAGGTTGACATGTTGACTTTGTAGCTCGCTAAAGAACCAATTGAGATTTTGACAATTGCATGCAGTATTAAAACTTCCTGCATAAACATCTGCATTTCCTGGGTAATAACAGTTACCAATTAATTTCTCCCTGTTTGGTAATGACTTTCTTCCTTACTGCTAACTTGTTTTTTGTGCATATCGGTTTTTATTTTCATTATTAGCATAATACGAAATGTTGTATTGGTGTCATGTGACAACTGCAGTGAAAAATCTCATTCGTTGCCGCATTAAGGAGCTGTTCGATATAAAACGACTCATTATATCGGTGTTCAACGGTACAATAAGAGTCCACCGAGAACTGAATGGACTCTGAAGGTGGCTCGACAGAATTTTCAGGGCAATTTTCGAAGCACTTTAGAAAGGTGTCTACCTACATGTGTATCATTTACCTATAAAATCTAAAACAGCAATAAACCAATAAGGGCGGAATACTAAGGCTATATACACGCTATAGTGGATTGTTTTTTGTGTTATCCAGTATAGTATTAACACCTGTACTGCGGACATGTAACTCTCCACTATAAGTAAAAACGTAACATCCGGTGGTTTGTTTTACTCGCCAGGACTTCACTTTTGTTGGTAGCAACTAATTTAAGATAGACTGTCCACCCATCACTAAGCGGTATCTTCCTATTACCTCACTATTTACCCCTCGGGGGTGGGGGGAATACCCATTACAAAGGCGTATACGGGGAGGCTCCGCCTGAAAGGGGAACCTTTTTCAGGCTTCAGGTATATGAAAGGGTAGGGATTTTACTGGTTGAAGTATATGAAAGGGTAGGGTTATCGGTTATTTCGGTACGTAAAAAAGCCCAAAAGGGCTTACAGATTTATTCTAAGGCTGTGAAAAAGTCGTGAAAACGTTGTGGTTTTGTGATTTATTCATATTTTAAATGCAGTGCCTTTACACTGGTTGAAAGGGATGCAAAATTCTAAATTAGTTATAAGAAAGGGGTATCATTTGTTAAAAGAAGGCGTAGAAAAGGGGTACCTTTTCCGTCAAAAATGGTATGTAAAAGCCGGATAAGGGGTTCCTGGTTGGACCGACCTCCGGGCGGAGCCTCCCCGGATAAAACTATGTTGAGTAAACCCCCCCTCCCACACTCCGGTAATTACCGCAGCAGGTACAGGGCTTGTCTGCAGAGCGGATGGTCGCGGGGTCGATCTCTGGGGCCGCACCACTATTCAGGGTCTTAGAATAATTGAGAAATGATGGTATACTGCCTTTGCTTTGCAAACAGCTAGTCCTTTGCTCGGATGAGTACTTAGAAATGGCGGTCCTATCTCCAGTAGGAGACGTAAAAAACTGTCCTCAACTAGCAGTTTCTTGCTAAATACACTGACAATTTAGAAATAAAATGCTTCGCCTGAGATATTGACGAAATTAACAGGACAGAAGCGCAGTCAATATAGACTTCTGAATATGAATGTTATGAATAAGACTTTAATATAAAGCATAATTAGAGTTTGTATGGTGTTGTTAAAGTTATAAGTTAGCATCGCACTTTTGCAATTAAAATAGACCCGCCCTAATACAGGGTCGTAACATGGTATATTCGGGAGCCATTGATCCCTATTTTCTTGCCGTTATTTTGATCCCTGAGCCCCATTTTCCGCAAAATTTGGATCCCTGAGCCCTGATAAAAGAATTGATCCCATCCAAGTTTTTACACAAAATTTTAACTTAGGCAACTTTGTTCATCTCCAAATATAGAATATAGGACATGCTCAAATGGGCTGATGAGAAAAACATTAACTTTAATTTTTAGTGCAAGTTGTAGGTTCTATCAGAGCTTGCTATTCTGCTATCCCTGTTGATGTTGTCAGTAGTCTTATGTGGATTTCCTCTTTCACTCTGAGTATGTTACAGTGAGGATCACGATCAATTACCAATAGCAAAATACCTGCTTTACATGAAGTAAAAAATTAAATGAAGCCACAGGTTCTACAGTTTAACAGCTTTTTTGTGTCAAGCCCATTAATGGCTTTTCCTGGCTTAATAACCATTGCAGATTGTCGGAGGACATATCTGGTCGTAGGTCTTCCAGACCTACTCCTTCCAGCTTCAAATCTAATTGGCTCTGAAAAGTTGTCCTCCTGGGCTTGCTCCCCTTCCTCTTCGTCACCACCTGACGCAGGTGGATCATCTGATTCAACTGACCCCTAGAGCAATGCAACTAGGCGTTGCTCTTCATGGCAGCTCAAACAGAAGTTGTTTCCATCTTTTATTATTTGAACGTTCCCGATGATACACTTAGGTAAATTTCTATCGTCACGGTGCCCAGTCTGGTATACAAGGGGATCTTCTTCTGACTGTTCCAGCCATCTCAAACCCATGTGATCTTCCAGGAATACGTCACCGTTATGGTGGAGATCCTTTAAAAGAACTGCAAGGAAGAAAGGAATGATATACCTCTTGTAATTGTGCTTAAGAGCAACTACGTCGCCTTTTGAATAGATAATCTCAATTCTTCGGCTGCGTCTTGAACTGCAGTTTGTTCTTCACTCCTTTGAACCTCTTTCAGCAGATCGACTTCTCCATATGCCGACACATTCCTTCTGAGAGGTCATTTGGTCGGAATATACTAGAATTATTAGTGTATTATCTGATGCCAAATAAATGCAAAAATCTTAAAGATATGAAGTCTTCTTGTTTGTCTATCTGTACTAGTAGCCTTGAAGTATGCCATCTTACCAGAAATTCTGGTGAATTTTAACTTAAAATATACATTAGTGAAGTAGTCAAGAGAACAGATGAAATTTTCCGAATCGAGCACAAAAATAATCATCAAAAAAGGGATGTCGCATCCATTATTTGTTCATATTTTTATGACCGAGTCAGAGATCACTTTTTGTACTAACTTCTTTGGGCAGTTTTGTTACCTTTCCTTTTTAAACTATTCGGTTAAAAAAAAAAAAAAAAACAGAACGAGAGGAAAGCCTCGCAGACGTTTCCTGAACACTAAGCGATTCCGCTTCACAGGAGGCGATAAAGCGACCCCACCGAAAATACTGATTGCCGTGAACAATTTCTTTTTGCCGGTGATTAAGTTTTATAAGTTTTATTTTGACACAAAGACTCCCGTTTTCTAATTGCTTGGCAGTTTAGAAAAATACGTCTAACAATTATCTAAAGCGTCTTAAAATCACATAGGACATCTGTTTTGCCACACCAGCAATGCCCTATCATCAGTAATCGTATGTTCAGAAAAGAGTTTCATCGTAGCTCAGTTTAAGATGTATTTTAGTAAGTCAAACTGCTTTTCATCAAAGTCTTAACTTACTAAACGTTTTGTAAGCCTCTGAACGTTGGTCAATCCGTGACGTGGCTTTGGTCGGATCATCCTGGAAAAAAAAACGCTTGCAATGGTGGACAAGAATTTGTTTGCTTCAAGCGCCGCAACTATCCAAAAAAAGTCAACAAATGAATTACTTGTATCTCACGTTTTGCGTATTCAACGCGTACCTATCCTACACCGCCACCATGCTGAACATTGTAGCAATCTACACGATCAGAAAGACTTCGTCTTTGTCCAAAAATTTAAAAACATTGCTCTTGAGCCAAGCAGTTTCTGATTTTGGTGTTGGTTTACTAGTTCAGCCAATGGTTGTTGCACAAGTTATGAACTCAAACCGAAACAGTGAAACGCGTCTTATCCCGACGAAACTCTTGATCTTTGCGACGAATCTCTTCATCTTTGCGACATTGTTTAGCGTCACGGCTCTCTGTGCAGACAGATTTTTGGCAATTCGCCTTAACCTCAGATATCAGGAACTTGTGACACACCAGCGCGTTGTTGCTGCCGTGATCTCAATTTGGGTGATAAGCACACTTATTTCACTGTTAACGTTATTCCTCCCAAAGCAAATTAGGTACGTGAGTTTCGTCATTATTGAATCTGCCTGTATTGTCACTGCAACTTCCCTGAGCGCCAAACTTTACCTAACTATAAGACGCCACATTAATCAAATTCAAGTCTCGCAAGTAGCACCGAATGACCAAGGAGAAAGTGTTCAAAGAAAAAGGAAATCTGCGATGGCAACGCTTTACGTATATCTGGTTTTCATAGCTTGCTACTTGCCTGATATTTGTGTGTTAATTATTGTCGCTTCCATTTCCGAACCAAGGATCGATCTGGCGCATTTGCAGTTTTATACACTGACCCTGTTGTTCCTGAATTCAACCCTTAACCCACTAATCTACTGTTGGAAGATGAAACGCATCCAGCACACTATTGTATCCACACTTCGACACATTTTTTCAAGTCCCACCTAGAGAAAGCTTTATCATAGACAAGGTCACCCTCATACGGTCATCCTCATAGGGTCTGTATAAATGAAGCTATGCCACTGAAATGCTTTACGAATTACCTTATACATGTAACAGATTTCCATGACACAATCCACGCTGTCATCGTTCAGTTTTTAAAAGTCCTTATGCAAAGTTTTAGTTTTAAAAAAAATTCATTACTTTTGTAAATGAACCCTTAAAGGGAACCTCCACTCTTACTACAGAATAAGTTTAAATCGAATAAAATTATGTTGATAAACAAATTTGTTCGAAATTTGTCTTAAAAAAAGTGTTTATATCAGGAAAAGTGAATTTTAAAATCGCTTATTTTCACTTTCAAATTTCGCGGGCGCCGCCATCTTGAATAATTGTGACGTGTTACGGTTGCTCTATTGTTCTGACACAAAGAGCTTTTGTTTAATAACAATAGGGCAACCATTACACGTCACAATTATTCAAGATGGTGACGCCCGCAAAATTTGAAAACAAAAATAGGCGAATCTAAAAGTTATTTCTTTCGGATACAAACGCTTTCTTTAAAAATATTTTAGATTGACTTGACTGTAACAGTTATTTCCTGTGATTTAAAGTTATCTTTTTGTTGAAGTGGAGGTTCCCTTTAAAAGTGCGATTGACGCACTTCACAGTGTCTTAGTCATGCAAGAGTAAGCCAGCTTACGAGCTAAATGACTTAAGTTTCTTCCTCATGTAACCTTTTCACTGTGTTAAAACCTAACAACGTTTAAATCGTCATGCAGCAAAGGTTTGGTTGAAATAGACCTTAACTGAGATGATACAGTTATGTCCTTATTGCATTTTAAATATTGGTGAAGCTAAGCAAAATAACACACTGATATTTAACGTTAACATGATATAAGAGGTTTCACGTGAACCCTTTTCTCACTGAAAAGCGTAAGCGGAATTCATGCCCCAATAAAACATTTAAAACATTTTAAGTGTACGAGATTATCAAGGTGAGGGAAAGTATGATACACACCTTCCTTGAAACTGTTTACGTTTAGAACCCTTAAGATTTTATGGTTTACTGTTTTCGTCTCAATAAAAAAAAGAACATTTGTATTGTCAAATCCGTCTTGGTATTTTGTATTGTTCTGCAGTGTTTTTTATTGTTATTTTGATTTCAGTAAGCCACATTTTCCCAAGGATGATAATGAAAAGAAAAGCCACGGCCGTAGAAACGAAACCACCCTTTACCTCCGTCTAAAGACATGCCGAAAATTTCCCCAGAAACGAGAACATCCAAACTTCAATTAGCCTGCGAGCAAGCTCTCTATTTTGGGCGAGTCGCGAGAAGTCACGCGAGAGCAGCACGCGTAAGGAGACACGAGCTCGAGGGCCGGGGAGAGAGGCGCGTTCTTTCCCGACTCGCTTCCCTCGCCATAAATGGAGAACTTGCTAGCAGGCTAAACTTCAACAGCTGTCTTGCGCGCTATTCATTTTCATGACAATTTCGTTCGATTGTAGAACCTTAACGCATTTCGCGGTTTACAAGCTTTATTGATTACTGTTACTATATTTTCGCTTCAATTCTGATCTAGCAAGGTCTGAAATAGGATCCTGAAGCAGATAGGAAATTCGTGAAAATAACGCGTTCTCACCTAAATATGAATTGTTGGTGCTAGGTTTCCTATTGACCAGCACCCTTCCAAAGCTCTTATTTCATTGGTCCCTATAACCTACACTACCTATTGTTGTCAGGGATAGGGGTATTGTTATGTCACCATCCATATTGTTTTCTGAGCCAATCACAGACCTTTCTCCCAGTTTCAGAACAGAATTAGAATTGGGTAACAAATGAATTTCACCTCAACAACAACAACCACAACAATAACAACAAAAGAAATAGTTCTTAAGTCCGCTTGCGTTTAATCGTTGCGTGCAAAGCCAACGAAAAATTGTCCACTGATAGTTTATGTCGTCGATATTACAAATTGCAAATACAACACAAGTTAATGACGGAGTTAGGGAACCATATGATAAGTAAATTAAGCAGCTGAAATTTTCCAAGCTGGTTATTTAAAACCTACTGTTAACTAAACATGATTTTTAGGACGTGTGGGAAATATAAAACATTTCACCACCTTTGAAGAGACGAACACTTTGTAACTCTTTCAATAGCGACTGTGAGGCCCTTATGTTAACGCCAAAAACTAGAAGTCGTTAATTTTGAAATATTACGGCATTAAGCCTCAAAATATTCATCAAAATTAAATGGGCTAAAAGACTAACGAGGAAGAGTTTTTCTCTAATATTTCAATCGACCGCTTTTAGTCCCAACTAATAAGCAACATGTCATTTTGCAGTATATTTTAATGAATAAGGCGTTCTTTTAAAAACAGCATCTGGAGCATACACAAGGGTGAAGGACAGTTTTGTCCTTTTTCGCATTTTGCTCGTTCGAATGCAATACAGCCATATAGTGGCCCGAATAAAGAAAAAAAACTTCAAGTATGGCTTCACTGTAAAAGGCGGGAAAAATGGTGGGGCAAGTTTCCTGTGTTTCAGTTGAAATTACTTTAAACAGAACTTCCTGTTTTTAAATTGATATGAAGCTAACAAAAACACATGACAATTTTACAATTTGCCTTGCAAATAACCAAGAGATCTATTCTGACACTTAGACCAGCAATACTAAAAGATCAGTTGCTGCATCATTGTGTTCAGATGAAATGTTTCATAGTGGCCTAGTTAAAGAGGAATTTAGTCAAATTAGTTATCAAACGCTACCTTATTGAGAGTAGTGGAGTTCTAACAATAAGTCAATCCGCTACGAAGCTCTGGTAGAAGAAGTTCACGAAACTAACTCTACTGAATTCATAACACATCAAACTCTTGCATCATCTGATAGGAATTTAACTGGCTTCGGCACAAATCCAAAAACGACAACAAATGGAATACTCGTATCTCGTACTTTGCCTTTTAAATGCATTTTTATCCTACACCGCCACCATGCTAAACATTGTAAAAATCCACTCGATAAGAAAAACTCCGAACTTGTCAAAGAATTTAAAAACATTGCACCTGAGCCTGGCTGTTTCTGATCTTGGTGTTGGGTTACTAACTCAGCCAATGGGAACTCTAGACTCAAGAACACAAACAAAAGCGAGAAAATGGGTCAATTTCGAATTATCAAAATTCATACTTGGCTGCGGAGGCGTTTGCAGGAATAGCGCGAAAACGGGAGCAAAAAAAAATAGAATCGCGCGGAACCGCTTGCTACGCAGGCTAAGGCTGCAGGGAATAAAACAGAATAGAATTGAGTAGCAAATGAATTTCATCTCAACGTCAACAACAACACCAACAACAAAAGAAGTAGCTCTTAAGCCTACTTGCGTTTAATGGTTGGTGCAAAACCAAAGATAAACTGACTGTCCACTAATAGTTTATGTCGTCGATATTACAAATTGCAAATACAACACAAGTTAATGAAAGAGTTAGGGAACAATATGATATGTAAATTAAACAGCTGAAATTTTCCGAGTTGGTTATTTAAAACCTACTCTTTGCTAAGTATTATTTTTTAGACGTGTGAAAAATATCAAAAATTTCACCACCTTTAAAGAGACGAAACACTTTGTAACTCCCTCAATAGGGACTGTAAACTCTAAATGAAAAGCCCTTACGTTAACGCCAAAAACTAGAAGTCTTTAATTTTGAGATATAAGGTTATTAAGCCTTAACATGTTCATCAAAATTAAATGGGCTAACAGACTAACGAGGAAGAGTTTTTTTTTTTTAATTTCAATCGACCGCTTTTTGTCCCAACTAATAAGCAACATGTCATTTTGCAGTAAATTTTAATAACTTTTTTTTAAAATACAGCATATTGAGCATACACAAGGGTGAAGGACAGTTTTGTCCTTTTTCGCACTTCGCTCGTTCCGATGCGATATAGCCATATAACGGCCCTAATAAAGAAAAAAAAACTTCAAATATGACTTAATTGTTAAAAGTGAGAAAAATGGAGGGGCACGTTTCCTGTGTTTCAGTTGAAGTTACTTTAAACAGAACTTCCTGTTTTTAAATTGGTATGAAGCAATACTTGATGATCAGTCGCCGCGTCATTGTGTTAAGATGAAATGTTTCATAGTGGCCCATTTAAAGAGGAATTTAGTCAAACTGCTTATCAAATGCTGCCCTATTGAAAGTCGTGGGGTTCTAAAAATAAGTCAATCTGCTTTGAAACTCTGGTAGAGGAAGTCCACGAAACTAATTCTACTGAATTCATAAAAGATCAAACTCTTGCATCATCTGATAGCAATTTAACTGGCTCCAGCACAAATCTAAAAAGGACAACAAATGGATTCCTCGTATCTCGTAGGTTGCCTCTTAAATGCATTTTTAGCCTACACCTCCACCATGCTAAACATTGTTACAATCCACGCTATAAGAAAAACTCCGTCCTTGTCAAAGAATTTAAAAACATTGCTCCTTAGTTTGGCTGTTTCTGATCTTGGTGTTGGTTTAGTGGCGCAACCTTTGTATGTGGCACGTCTTATTATGGAGTCACGGCTAAACATTGAAACTAGCAAAACGTATAATGCCATCTACATCGCGTATCTTGTCTCGGCGAATTTATTTGGTTTCGCTACGCTGTTTCTCGTCATTGTTCTTTGTGCAGAGAGATTTATAGCCATTCATTATTACCTTAGATATCAAGAACTTGTGACACACAAGAGAGTTGTTGCTGTTGTCGTCTCAACTTGGGTACTAAGCGGACTGTTTTTGTTGACGAAGCTGTGGATCCCAAAGAGTATTACGCTCGTGGTTTTTGGCATTACAGTACTTGCATGTATAGACCTATTCGGCTAACTCAATGTTGTACCCAATTCAAACCCTTTGGGAATAAAACGTTTTGTTTCAGGAATTTCCATACATTTAAATGTGAATGCCACATTATAATGCAAATGCAATACACAAAGAATCTTATCCCCGGGAGATTTGAATTGGGTACAACATTGAGTTAGCCGAATAGGTCTATTATAGCTACCACTTTCTTCAGTATCAAAATTTACTTGTCCGTGCGACTTCACGTGAACGAAATGCAAGTGCTGCAGCTACAACATGCACCACAGAACGCTCAAATGGTTAACGTTCGAAGGATGAGAAAGTTTGCGATGATGTCAGTTTACGTTTGCCTCGTTTTAACGGTTTGCTATCTGCCAACCATTTGTACACACTTTGTTATTGCCTTCACTTCTAGACCAAGCACTGGCATAAAGCATTCACAGTTTTACACTCTGACACTGGTCTTCCTTAATTCGTCGCTTAATCCTGTGATCTACTGCTGGAAGATGAAACACATCCGACACACCGTCATTGGCTTTATACGAAATGCATTTACAAAGCAAAACTAACTGAGAGCTTCAAAACAATCCATATGAAAATAATAAACGATATGAAAAAACGACAACAACAACAAGAAACAATAACAAATGTGAAATCGTGTTATGTTAAACTTACAATAAAAAAAGATATAACAGAATAAGAATAAAAATGAACAATAGAGATTATTGTAGTTCTCGTTAGAATCAATGATTCAAAAACAATTTGCCTCGGAGTAATAATTCATATATTGTAATGAAACACGAAAGTTGTCAAAACTTTTTTAAATCCGTCAATAAATAAAATATAAAGCATTGTGGTTTACCTCTCACCCACCCCTACAGATAAAAAGGAAAGTAAGAAAAGGAAGTAAGCTGACGAAATTAAAGCAGAAACACACTCACGCTCTTATCAAAGCCAGCGAGACGATGAAAACACCCGCTGAAAACATCCTCGAGATAACAAAAGGTTTAAAACATCTTTCCTAGACTTGTAAACCAAGATGATAGTTATCAAACTAAATATAGTAACGATTGCACCATTTTGTTTCCCTCGATCACGATTATACGTGACTGCGCGTCTGCACGAACAGAAATTCATTTTTTCTTTCTTTTTTTTTTTCGTGGCTTCTAAAAATGCGTAACGGGGAACTTTAGACTGAAAAACACAAACAAAAGAGAGAAAATGGGTCAGTTGCGAATTATTAAAATGAACGATACGGCTAATTCTTGTTCATTATTTTTTCTAGGAGGGAGATTGTAGCTGTGCTGCTGGACTGGCTTGTAGGCTGACCAAAAAATTCATTTACCAGGGGAAAACAATGCATGCCGCCAGGTGAAGCGATTGAAGTGGAAACCGTCGACCTGAGTGATCCTTCAGCTGATACCCCAAGAAACAAACGGTGGCTCGGTAGCAGTATTTTCCGATGTAATGATGGGTCAAAATCTACTATCACTATTATTCTTCGACTGCGTAACAGGCATAGGCGGACTTTGTGTGTTATTCGTTTGTGATTCGTAAAGTAAGGGATGCCGCTCGAAAGCTGAACCGGGGTCAAACGAGAAAACGATGGGGGAGGGGGTAAGCCTTCTATTTCTTGCCCCCTTCCACATTGTTTTCTCTTTTGACCTATTAATTCACGAAAGAAGAACGAAAAACACACCAAAACTCTCCTGCTACGCAAGCTACGTCAGACAAATTATAGGCGGCCAATTTTCAAGAGGCGACTACTAATTTTTTCCTGACTTAATAGAGAGGAGAAGTCGTCACGTCACGTTGCCATGGTAGCAAAATGTCCGGATGACAAGAAACCGAGCAACCGATTTCCTCTTAAATACATTGAAAACACTTTTTAGGCTATCCACAACACTTTTAGATCTCTTCAAAAACATTCTTAGTGTCGCTATAAAATTTGTATCTGCTCGGTCATCCTAGGGCAACTTCAGTCTTTTCGAATTTACGAGGGCTTCAGTAATACTTCACCGATAATTTTAGATGCAATTTAGCTTGTTACGAATGCCAGAACTTTTCTGATTTCTCTCTTCATCACATTTTTTAGTCCGAAAATTTTAGGTTTCTTTCTTCCTACGAAAAATAACCTAACCTGGGTAGTGAATTGTGAAAAATTAAACTTCAAAAACTTTATTAGATGAGCTTCGAAAATTGTACATGAATGGAACGGTCATCTAGAAGTTTTTAGCCGTCCTCAAGTGATAGAAAATTCAAGACAATATTCGCTTCTCCGATCAATGAGATATTTTAAAGGAAACAGTCATTGGGTGCCCTTTGTTTTCACGTTTCAAAACCAATTTTATTTTTCCTTGCAAACACCTGGTTTTAAATGCAAATCGTCATTAAAAGTTTGATGGTTTGCTGATCAATGCATTTTATAATTACCCGCTAGGTGTTAACTGTCCTTGTGTAAACAGGAAATTTTTCTGAGGGAGAACTTGGGCATCTAAATGAGCTTGACTTTTTTAGATTTTAATTACAGATCTGTTAACCTATGGAATATAGCTTTATTCCTAAACGTCGAGTACTTAGCTACTGTAGCAATTTTTCCAAAATATCTACTTTTTTCGCTGTTGCAACAGGAAAATAATTCTAAGGTGCAAGGGGATTATAGTTACGCTGTTATAGCGGAGCTCCCGCGCGCGCGAAGCGCGCGCGCAGCGGAGCACCATGGGTAAGAAAATTTGGTAAACTATCCATCCGAGAAAATTTGGTTATGACGTAGAGTACGCCCACCCGTACACACACTTCATGTAAGCCGATGTCAAATGTCACAATAGATCTTGCACAACTTGACTAGCCTCTTAGTTATGTAAGCCATTCGTATGAGTACGATTAGATTGACAGCTGTCAAAATCAGACATCCGCTGACAATTATCACATGACCATCTCGCGGGCTCAGATAAAAGACCAGTCGTTTTACCCCTATATATAAGCTGACATAATATGTCACACTTACCAATTCAACATAAAAACGAAACTACACTGGGCAAGGCTGTCAGTTGACTGACAGTCGTTTAAAGTTACATTGGCAAGCCAAGTTAAGTTCAATTGACAGCTGTCAAAATGGGACATGTGCAGACCACAATCAGAAAACTAGTAACGTGGGCTCAGGTTCGCTCAGGTACACGATCTGGCATTTTCCACTACATGCCGGACGGATATGTCCTACTCACACTTGTAGTCTGTTAATTCGAATATTCGCCATTCTAATGAAGGTTAATTGACAGCTGTCAAACTAGAGTATACGCTGACCATCATCACCTGAGTGGATCGCGGGCTCATTTTTCTATCCATTGAGGTCACGTAGTGTTTAAAGTTTTGCGCATATATTTTATTTGATCACAGGCTCAATTCGAAGCCCCATAGCTTTATAGAAAATCTGTCCATCCTAGAAAATTCGGCAAGCACGTGACCGTACACTGACCACCCGACCTTCCGTCTGTCCGCACCACAGGCATACCAATGTTTCTGCTGACCAGTATCGCCTGACCGTATCGCGGGGTCAGGTATAGACCCTCTGAGTTCGAGTAATTTTTTGAAGGTATCCGCTGACAAGTTGCTACTTTTCAAATGATCGCAGGCTCAAGTTCAATTTTTTTAAAATGCATATGAAATAAGTCGTGTTCATGAGCCGCACTTTTAAAATTTTGATTTCGAACTGACCTCGGACACGAAAATTCAACCGGCTTTTACATTTAAATGCAGGGAAGGCAATCGCTTTTGACTTTTTTCACTGTCACGTGTTCATCACGCTCTACGTCCAATTTTTATGTTCTGATTGGTCAAAATTTGACAGGTGAGTTTAAGGGGAAAATTTATGCAGCGTCTGGAAACTTGCTTACTGATAGCTGGAGCTGACAGAGTTTTGTGTCATCTTGTGATGTTTTAAACTGTCTTTTTCTCCTTGGTGTACAAAATGAAATACAGCTGCTATCAACATTGTTCTGTAATTCGTGGCTGGTTTGCTTATTGCGCTTTTTGTTGACAAATGCACCGCTTGTCAAAGTCATTGGAAATCCGATTTCGGATGGCATCGTTTTCAAAAATGAGCTTACTCACTTGAGGCGTAAGAGGGTTGAAAAGTCTCAAGCGATTCTGGAACACTTGAAGACCTTCAGAAGCAGCATCTCGACTGGTAAGCCTGAGCAATTATTGTCTTTGATGTGTTTTTTTTTCGGTTTCCTGAAGTCGAGCGTATGGTTTATGCGGCTTAAGTTTATACACGAGCAATTATCTAACCTACAATAGTATCAGGTTTAAAAAGCCTTTAGACACTTTTTGACCCGCAAATTCAAAGAAAAGGTTCCGAAGATTATTTAGTTATGATTTTGGCAGTAAACAGAAAGCTCTGATGGATTTTCTTGCCTCGAGTTCATCTTGAAAAAGAGAAAACACCGGGAAGCCGGCTTAAAACATAAATAAGCTTATGCTTACCTGACTCATGATTTTCTGAGACACTTTACTCTCAATACTTCTCTTCGTGAATGAAAATTATTGTCTCAGTACATGTTTCACCGAATTAAATTTATTTTATTGATTGTTAGTAGTCCCTCTCGCAATTTTTATCGCTGCACCGGTTTTTTTTTTTAATTTCCAGTCGAACATAAACATCGCATGCAAGAATACTCAAAACGCCGCGCGTAAATATCACTCGCTTTTAAAGATTACACATAAAAAAATCATGCACAGTTTAATGAATAAAGGGAAGTAAAACCTAAACATAACAATTTCTCTATCATGTTGAAGCGTGAATGGTAACTTTTTGACCCGCAAGTTCAAAGAAAAGGTTCCGAGGATTATTTAGTTATGATTTTGGCAGTAAACAGAAAGCTCTGATGGATTTTCTTGCCTCGAGTTCATCTTGAAAAAGAGAAAACAACGGGAAGCCGGCTTAAAACATAAATAAGCTTATGCTTACCTGACTCATGATTTTCTGATTTTGGGAATTTTTTTTTATCGTTTTCATTAAAAGCCCATAATTATTACCCTGCATATCTAGGACCAGATTTTTCTAACTGAAAAGTCCCGGCATTATAGAATTCTTTTCATGAAAACGTTTTACAATTCAATGCTATAATTTGTTGTGCAAACGAAGCGCGTGCTTTGATCGTCGTGGATATTGAATGAGTGCAAATTCTCTTGCAAAATTGTGAAAAACTGCAGAATTATAGGTTTAAATAGAGCAAAAAAGAACAAATTCTGTCCGAGGTCTGTATGATAAAAAAAGGGCCTCATAGTACTGTTTACCTGAGACGTGATGAGAAAAAGTATGTTTAAAAGGCTGGTTTACACGCCACCAGATTCGTCGCCAAGATTTACTAGTAAACTAAACTTGTCGAACACAAAAAATCCGGCCTGATTTTTTATTTTGGCCTCCCTTTTAGACAGAGGAATGCAACTTGTAAATTGGCTGCCACCAAGGACTATCGTGGCGCGTGTGTTTCTTAAAATTATAATTCGAGGTTATCCAATTATCCATAGTCTCTCTAACGGAGCAATGTTGGTGAGACTAGTGAATGCCACATTATGATGCAACAGCTAATGCAAATACAATACACGAATAGGTCTATTTGTTTTCCAGGCCTAATCTACTGTGATCGAACATGATTGCTATTTTTCGGTGTACAAATAAGACTATTTAATAACTCGACGTAAAATTTGTTGCACTCTTGGACGGTCAAATTCTGATTTTTCTCTAAAATCACTCAGCCTTTGCCTCAAAAGTCAAATGAATGTGCCCTGATCTGTGGATTACAATTGCAAGTTTATTGTTTGAATTAAATTATGAATTTATTAACGGGAGCTTCGCTTTTAGCCCTGGCTAAATCTATATATTACTACAGACATAAACTGTGAATATTAATAACTGTTAAAGACAGCTGGCACTGATGATTTTCCCGGCGAATACACTCCACTCTTTATAAATAATATTAAAGTTTTTTCCGGCGTTTTTAGCAATCTTAATCATCGGCAAACATCTTTTCTTACTCTACTTAGATAAAATAAAATAAAATCAAAAAGACACTTTCAAATTTCGACTCAAAATCATGGATTAAGTCCTTTAAACTTTCGAAAGCTTCAACATGTTCAAAATTCTGTCGCTCGCCTTGTCAACCAGTGTCCAAGATTTTGCCATATTACTCCAGTCCTGAGGGATCTTCACTGGCTACCTGTCTCCTTTCGCATTGAATTTAAAATTATGTTAATTACTTACAAAGTACTATACATGATCGAGCTTCAATCTATATACAGGAACTCCTTCAACTGTATACACCCAGCCGCAATCTTAGATCCTCTAATAGAAATTTATTGGTTAAACCCTATTTTAATCCCAATTCGTATGGTAAACGAGCTTTTTCTGTTGCTTCTCCGGAACTTTGGAATAATTTACCTGAGGATATTAAATCCGCAAACTCAATTGATGATTTTAAACGCAAACTTAAAACATTTCTTTTTATGCGAGCTTATGAATCCTGATGTTTTTATTTGTTATCTGATTTTTTATCTATTGTGTACATTTATCTATTTTGTAGTTAGCGTCTAGTTTTAATGTCAATTTCTGGCGATTATTTTTACTTTTTAGTTTTATCTAATTTTTGTAAACAGCGCCTTTGAATCTTGTAGAAAAGGCGCTATATAAATGGATTATTATTTATTATTTAAAAAAATCCGATATGGCCGCACCCAAAATCGACCGAACTCTTTTTAAGCGTTCTTTTCGCCCTTCTTAGTGGTCTTAAACATTGTCAAACATCTTTAATTACTCTATTTAGAAAAAAAAAGATCAAAGTAAAGGGATAACTAATCCGATGAACAATTTGTGTCCTGTCAGCATAGGTCGTGTGTGCGGGTATCAACACAGCGGCACTGTTCGTGGCAAGCCAGTTGTCTACCCACTGGGGATGTTGTTCTGTTGCATCTTTTCTCCATCACTGTAGGTTAACTCAACAGCAAAGACACTTACGAATGGTGTTTTGTACTTCCCGTCTGACATCTTTGATCCTCCAACAGTAAAGGACAGGATTCAGAGATGAATTTAAAAAGACGAGACAAACGGAAAATTCATCCGCGATTCTTATTTCAATGGAATCATCTATATTTCCTAAGTGCAAAAGAAATACCATCACGATGTTAGGACAATAACAAGCAAGCATAGCAAACTGTATCCAAGCTACGCTATACACTGTCTTCTTGTATCGTGCTATGTTTAGTACACTTCTTACTCTGCTTGACTGTTCTGGTTGAACATGATCTTCCACTTGGGCTTGTTGATGACGGAGGGTGAAAAAAATCGTCGAGTACGAAAATGTTGAGACTATTATAGAAAAAATGGTAAAAGCTCGGAGGGTCCACAACGAGGCAAGTTCTAACTTATCATGAAATAGGATCCAAGCCACGCACAACAAAGAAGCGTTTGAAACAGCAATGAACCAAACACAAGCTATGAGCACCCGAACTCGGCATAAAGTTACAACGTGTCTGTATCTCAGTCCCAGTAAGAGAGCGAGAAGTCTGTCAACACTGATGGCAGCCGATGTTAGGATGGATACCGCAACCAACACGTTAATGATAAACACATATACGTAAGCTAGTTCCACGATGCGGTTACCAATATCAAGAGAGATTGTAATGTACCAAACGTAAACGTAAAGTGGTTGACAAAGAAGACCAACACAAAGATCAGTTATCGCCAGACATCGAAATAGGAGCTTCGTCGGTGGATGAATGGAGGAAACGTTTCGTAGAGCAACTAGGATGAGAACATTGCCCAGAGTTACAAAGATTGAAAGGAAAATGTTCAGGGCTATAAGAAATATCCACACTCCGGATGGTATCTTCGCTATTACAGATGCTCCATTAGCGTTGTTTGCCATCGGTTTTGAAAACCCCGATCAAGCTTTATGCAAAGGAAACGCCGATTTCAGTTAGATGGAAAGAGAAATGTTTAAGGATATGCCGAGAAATATGTGAACTCCTTCGTAACTTCAAATGTCTCATTCGTATTGCTTGCAATTGGTGTTGAAAGCCCCCGATTTAGCTTTATGAAAAAGAAACGTCGATTTGAGTTAATGTTCAGTTTCTTCAGCTGCAAGGCTACAGAGGACAAAACAGCTTGTGAACGAAATAGTTAATTCACTTGTGACAGATCTAGACAGAAACTGGCAAGTTAAATTAAAAAATAGACTGAGACTCCAAATTCACCTGCCGTTGTATGAAACGTGTCACTTACTCTCATAACATTTTTTAGACAGGTTCACTTGTTGAAGGCTATAAGAAATATCCATACTCCGGATAGTATCTTCGTTGTTACAAATGTTCCATTGGTGTTGATTGCCATTGGTGTTGAAAGCCACTGACTAAGCTTTATGGAAAAGAAACGTCGATTTGAGTTAACGTTAGGTTTCTTCAGCTGCAAAGCTACACAAGATGAACTTCCTCGGACAAAACAGCTTTTCAACGAAATAGCAAATTTATTCAGTTTATTATAGAGGTCTATAAACAGGAACTGGCAAGTTAAATTTGAAGATACTTAACTACAAATTAACCTGTCGTTGCATCAAACGCATTAGTTAAGCCGATTCCTAACATTGTTAAGACAGGTTGACTTTGCTGCTCGCTAAAGAACTATCCAAAAATATTAATACAAAATAAGATGTTATATGTACTTTGACGACATGGATATCGTAAAATATGGGTACACGAAAATTGGAGGTTAACAAAACAGAGTGAAGAAGATATGCTGTCATTTCAACTAGAACAAATTATTGAGTAGTAGTTTAGGTTGACATGTTGACTTTGTAGCTCGCTAAAGAACTAATTGAGAGACCGCTTAGTGATAGGTGCACAGTCTATCTTAAATTAGTTGTTACTCTCAAGGTGGCTCGACTGAATTTTCAAGGCAATTTCCGAAGCACTTTAGAAAGACGTCTACCTATATGTGTATCATTTACCTATAAAATCTAGAACGGCAAGTAACCAAAAAGGGCGGAATACTAAGGCTATGTACACGCTATAGCGGATATTTTCGTGTTATCCGGTATAGTATGAACACCTAAACTGCGGATATGTAACTCTATCTCCACTATAAGTAAAACGTAACATCCGGTGGTTTGTTTCACTCGCCAGGACTTCACTTTTATTGGTAGCAAATAATTTAAGATAGACTGTCCACCCATCACTAAGCGGTATCTTCCTATTACCTCACTATTTACCCCTCGGGGGGGGGGGGATACCCAGTACAATGGCGTATACGGGGAGGCTCCGCCTGAAAGGGGAACCTTTTTCAGGCTTCAGGTATATGAAAGGGTAGGGATTTTACTGGTTGAAGTATATGAAAGTGTAGGGTTATCGGTTATTTCGGTACGTAAAAAGGCCCAAAAGGGCTCACAGATTTATTTTATGGCTGTGAAAAAGTCGAGAAAACGTTCTGGTTTTGTGATTTATTCATATTTTAAATTCAGTGCCTTTACACTACTTAAAAGGGATGCAAAATTCTAAATTAGTTATAAGAGAGGGTATCATTTGTTAAAAGAAGGCGTAGAAAAGGGGTACCTTTTCAGTCAAAAATGGTATGTCAAAGCCGGATAAGGGGTTGGACCGACCTCCGGGCGGAGCCTCCCCGGATAAAACTATGTTGAGTAAACCCCCCCTCCCCCACTCCGGTAATTACCGCAGCAGGAGTAGCTTAGCTTGTACAGGGCTTGTCTGCAGAGCGGATGGTCGCGGGGTCGATCTCTGGGGCCGCATCACTATTCAGGGTCTTAGAATAATTGAGAAATGATGGTATACTGCCTTTGCTTTGCAAAAAGCTAGTCCTTTGCTCGGATGAGTACTTAGAAGTGGCGGTCCTATCTCCAGTAGGAGACGTAAAAAATTCTCCTCAATTAGCAGTTTCTTACTAAATACATTGACAATTTAGAAATAAAATGCTTTGCCTGAGATATTGACGAAATTAACAGCACAGAAGCACAGTCAATATAGAATAAGACTTTAATATAATATAATAATATGAATAAGACTTTAATATAAAGCATAATTAGAGTTTGTATGGTGTTGTTAAAGTTAAAAGTTAGCATCGCACATTTGCAATTAAAATAGACCCGCCCTGATAATTGGCTAGAAAAAGTTTGGTGACGACTGCCAGCTAAAATATCCATTACTTAACATGCAAACTCCAACTCCGACCGACAAATTAAAATCTGTTATTAGGAGAGTTACGGTTTCCAACAGTTTAATGAAGAAACCTCAAAGGATATGAAAGTGAACTACATTAAGTACAAATTTTCAAATAAATTTCGGTTTCCAACTCAGTACGTTTTTAAGACACTATCTGAAAAAAAAAAAAACTCCCTTTTAAGGGACGTATTCTACGTCTTAAGTGATTTAAACTTTCAACTTCCTTCTTTTCGATGCTGCGGCAATATTCAGCATGACACAACAAGGAAGCGTTCTGTACCACTAAAGTAAACTTCGTAGCAGTTCGTATTCATTTTGACGAAGCTGTGTTATATGTTAAAAACGGCCAGAAGCCCACTTTCGCTTTACGAAGCCACGCACTTTTCTTTTTCCTCGGAAACACTTGGTTTTAAACGCAAATCGTCATTATCATTTATCATATTCTCATCACATTTACCTGCTAAACGTCACCAGCCCTTGTGTAAACAAAACTTTTTCAAGAGATAACTTGGTCATCTGAGGACGTTCATTTAAGTACAGACATGTTCACTTACGAAATATAGCGTTATTTCTGAACGAGTACATGTCAGCTATGTTGCCAATGTTCTTAAAATGTTTACTTCTTCTTTTTTCTTTCGCAACAGAGAAATTAATTTGGCGGTTAAGGTGCAACGGGTTTATATGTTGAATATTAATTTATTCATTTTTTTCACCTGCTGGGAATTGTTTACTACACTTTTCATCGTTCGTCCAAACGTACCCCTATAATTTTTATTTGCCTTACAATGTCACATCTAAACCTTATTCTTTGGTTTTAAAATTCAGGTGCTCAGTGCGTCGACGCGTCGTCTCTTTTCATTTTTCATCCGATTTCACTTCCAATAACAATAAAATAAAGCTAACTAAAATTGCAAGACGATCGTTTTGAAAGCTTTCATTTGAATCAATTAACCACGCTTCAGGTTTTCGCTAACAAATAAAAAGTGAAAGGCATGTACTTCCCATTCAGGGGTTTAATAACCAACACCTCATAAGAAGAACAATTCAAACTGCGTTTCACAGTTTTAACATACAGTGTTTGTTTCTTGAAAGCAAATTAGCAAACAGCTAATTACAATTTCTTAGTTCTTCTCGAATCCCTTACATAAATGTATGCCCAAAGCTCTGTGCTGACGTTATTTTCTACCAGGGCACATATTTTTCGTACAACAACATTAAACTGAAGAGTCGTAAGGCGCTAAATGAGATATTTGTGACAACTGACTCGACTTTATATATACTTTGTACAACACTAGTCAACAGAAGGTCATTTTTTTTCTTCTGAGAAAACGCCTACATTAGCCCTGCTATTTACGGAAAGTTTTCTTCTTTAATGTTGAAATACAATTGAAATTGTTGTTTAAAGAAAACACAGAAGTGTTATAGGTGTAGTGTCTACCACTGACGACTGTTTGACCGGTCCAAACTGAATATCATGCAGTTGTAAAAGGAGTAAACAGGACTAACGAATCTATCAATAATGTCCGCTCTGCATTCATTGTTTAGTATGTATAAGTATGAAGCTTTTTGACAAGTACTTAATTACATCTCATCATTTACGAGTTTATAACCCAAGCAAAGTCTTAAGAGTAAATCGACTGAATAATGCTAGAAGTACAAGATGAAAAACGTATCCTTTGAACAATGTAAATATTGTCTTTACTTTTCATTTTTTCGTATGTACAGGTAATATATGACAAAGTACTTTTCGTGGTCGCCGGGTGTCTTCATTGTTCTGTTGTGTCACCCCACCTACACCCAGGAAATTTTTGCCTATGGAATCCGGAATTTACGAAATTTTTCCTTGTGGAATGGAGAATCCTGCTCTTTGGAATCCGGAATACAGCTCAAGGAATCCGGAATCCCACTTACGATTGGAATCCAGAATCCAAGTTCCACTGACAAAGACTGAAATTCAGTGCGTAGAATCCGGAATCCACGCCGAGGAATCCAGAACCCAAGCTAGAATGTCTTGGATTCCATTATATGAGGCGAGTTGTACTTCTCCCCAAACACAATAGGTAAAATCAAAAGCAAAGAAACTTGCTAATTGTTTTCTTCACTTCCTGCTTCACATCTCTTATCTTCCAACAGTAAAGAACTGGATTTAGACATGAATTTAAATAAAGAAGACAAAAGCAAAACTCATTCGCGATATTAATTTCGAAGGAATAGCCACGAAGAGAGGATACTGATCCCAATATTGTGTAAGGACCATAACAAGCAAGCATAGCAAACTGTATCCAAGCTACGCTATACACTGTCTTCTTGTACAACCCCGTTAATGCGACCACCGTTGGGCCATAAAATCCTGGCCGTAATAACGAGGTGGTCGCATTAACGGGGTCTTCAAAATAATAAAATGACTCAATGGTTTTTACGTTTGGTTTGAAAGAATATGGCCGTAATAACGAGGTGGTCTTATGAAAGGGGGTGCTCATAAGGCGGGGTTCCACTGTATCATGCTATGTTCAGTACACTTCTTACTCTGCTCGACTGTTCTGGTTGAACATGACCTTGTACTTGGGCTTGTCGATGACGAAGGGTGAAAAAAATCTTTGAGTATGAAAACGATGAGATTATGATAGAGAGAAGAATTAAACCCAAGAACAAAGAACAAAGAAGCGTTTGAAACGGCAGAGAACCAAACACAAGGTATGAGCACACGAACTCGGCATAAAGTTACAACGTGTCTGTATCTCAGTCCCAATAAGAGAGGGAGAAGTCTGTCAACACTGATGGCAGCTGATGTTAGGGCCGACGCCGCAAAAAACACGTCAACGAAAAAATTGTGTATTACGGAGGGGATATCTTTTATGTAGTTAATGTGACGAAAATCTGCTAAAATGAAGAAAACGTCGAGTGGTTGACAAAAAAGACCAACACAAAGATCAGTAACTGCCAGACATCGAAATAAGAGTTTTGTTGGTGGATAAATAGAGGATATTTTTCGAAGAGCGACCAGTATCAGGGCATTGCCCAAAGTTGCAGTGATGGAAAGAAAAATGTTTGGAGCTATAAGAAATATGTATAGTCCTACCGGGAGTCCTGCCGATGTCCCATTTAAGGTGTTGTTTGCCATTGATGTTGAAAGCCACCGATCCAGCGCTTTACCAAAAAAAACCTTCCAGGTTAATAAACGTTGGGCTCCTTCGGCTTCAAGGCTAACGCAACCTCCAAGGGCAAAATAACTAGCGGATGACAACAGCTACTTTATAATTAGTATAGGTAATAGCATGATTAGTAGTGATATTTGGCATAAATACCACGAGTGATATTTCCAAATTGTTATACGTAATTTCGCGAGCCGTTAGGCGAGTGAAATTTGAGACAATTTTGAAATATCACGAGTGGTATTTATGCAAAATATCACGTACAAATCATGCAATTATTTGTTTATACTACTACCCGCAAAAGGTTTGTAATTTTCACATGTAGGTTTTTCAAATTAAGCTGAAATACCACTGCTCTAAGCCAATCAAATTGCAGTAATTTTAGTATAAACAATGAAACTACACAAAAAGACAGACAGGTTTTATTTCACTGAGATTAATTGGCTTCGAAATTCCCTGCTGTTCTTTTCATCAAACGTATTTAGTAGGCATTTCTTTATCATTATTTTTTAGTTAAACGTATTAAGTAGATATTTCCCCTCCACCTTTTTTTTTTTTTACTTGTGGACTTCGCTGCTAGCTAAAGAAACAGTAAAGACACTGATGGCAACAAAACGCTTCTAAAACCACTGCTATCTAACATGAAAAATAAAATTTAAAAGAAAACAGTCAAAAAGCTAGATAATCACATAAAACCAACTGTAATTAATAGAAGCTGTTTAAAATTTGCTGCGCAATGGACTTCCTGTAGAATTATTTTGACTTCTGCATAATTTATAGTTGTAAAATCTTCCTGCACATCAACCTAGATTTCCTGAGTAATAGTGACTTATAAATCTCTTCCTGTGTAGCAATCCCGATTGTATTCTTGCACTAATGAATGTCTCCCTTCACCGACAAACACTTTTTATAAACCTGCAATGATATGAAACTGAACTCATTTTTAACTGTTTACAATACTTACTTGCTTACTAACTACAAGAGTACTAATTTTCAATGCATCAGCTTCAGTTTTCAACTCAGACATCATGTAAACATTATCTATTATTATCATTTACTATATTCAAGCATTGCTTATGCTAAACTAGCAATTTGAAAGACAAAAAAAACATTAATATGTCATAGTATTTTAAAGGGGATGTGTTACGGCTGTGCGTTCCTGTTCGCTATGGAACTTGGGAAATTGCTTGTGAAAGACCAAAACCCAGCTTGGTGTCAAACACATTTTGCCTCCCAAGGATTATATTAAACGTTACAATTTTTCAAAAACCACAATTGCAATCCGTTTTACTCTTCTTTAAGTTTGTCCATCAGTGCCATCTTTTGTATTTGATGTGTTATTTATACTTTCTTTTCATGTTTTGAGCGGTTATTATGTTTCACTCAATTTTGTGGCAGTTCCAACTATTAGAATTTTGAGTAAATTTCGTGACAACTTACTTCTTTGATTCAGTGTGCTGCAGTGTTCCGCTTGATACAAGAAAGAGGCGTTCTGTGCTACTAAAGTAAACTTAGTAACATACTTTCAATTTTGAGGTGAATTCACTTTTTAAAAAAAGTGAATTCGCACTGTTTCAAACTTCATTAATTTTATTCAATTTCATTTAATTTGTCAAATGCTCGCGAAATTTCCGGGTTGAATCCCAAAGGACGGTATCTATAAGTTTCCAAAAAAGAAAAGAAAATTTTTGTGTTGTGTTCACCGACTCCATAAAGCGGGCGCGTGAAATTAGGAGGTTTCAGGTCGCAGTCGCGTGCAACGACGGCTAAGAAATTAAATGTACAAAAAGAAGCGTCGGATGCAGGTGCAAACTTGTTGTTTAACTAATCTAAACCTATTGCTTTTTTGCTATTCTCGTTACTGTCGCCATCGTCGTTGCTTTAACTCGCTTTTGTGGTTATCCAAAAATTTTGCTACCATGGTAACGTTACGTCACACTTCTCCTCTCTATAATCACTAATAACAGCACAGGGTCCAGAGGAGTTTCGTGTGAATAAATGAATTACTTATTTAAAGTCTCACCTTGAAAAATGTCTATACCTGTCGCTTAGCACGATTAATTAGCCCAATGGGATCTTTATGATTCTACTGTAAACGATTTCTTCCCTTCTTGTCTGACCCAGATCGACTTTCGCCATTTTGAAAATCAATAACCGCAAGCCATGTCCTCACTGGCGCACGGCACGTCGCCCGAAGGGTGACCGAAGACCGTCACCCGAAGGGCGACTGAAAGCCGATCTTGCGAGCCCTCAGTCTCTTGGTTTGCGGTCTATAGAATGTGTAACGAAACTGTAACGCGATCAAAATAACCCATTTTTCAGAGATTTGCGACGAGTTTTGATGTTCTAACGACAAACACATCTCCTCTGGATCCTGTGATAACAGTGCTGATACATTCAAACGCACATTTTGATCAATTTCTTTAATTAATTTTCAAAACCTGGTTAAAACGAACTCCGAGGTAACAAATCACAAGCGAATTTTTTTTAAGCTAAAAAAAAACCCCATGGTAAAAATCATCTGACATAAGTGTATTCGCGTATTTTGCGCAAGGGCAGATTAATTTAGATTAATTTACTCAGTCTTTTGTCGTCTCTTGAGAGCCATAATGTTTGGACACAAATTCTCCCAGAGTTGTGTAATCAATAATAGATAGTTTCTTCGTGTACCTGTCCCTACCCCCTTTAAGATTAGAGATGGCAATTACGATCATAACAGTTCGTGGGCATAGCAAGTTTGTCCCGTTGACATTTTACTATATTGTTTTGTTCCAGAGATGCTTTGACGAAACAGATTGTGGACAGAACTTCTGTTGTGCACTCAACAAGCGGTGTTTACCGAGAATCCCTAAATATTTCACTTGCATGTTGTCGGTTAGTATTAAAAATTAAAGTCATGGTATAATTATGAGTATGCAAATTGAAAATAGCTGAAAAAAGATCCAAATCTTTTTTTTTTCATTATTTACAAGAAAGTGAGAAAATTAAGGGTTTAGGGTTTGCGAATCTTCTAAATAAATAAAAAAAATTTCAGAAAGAATACACAAAGGAAATTGAGTAAGTTTAATTTTCAGAGGACAAAGACCTTGTACCTCTCAACTTGAATCTAACGTTTGCCGTTTGTCGTAAACGTGACTCTTGATCTCAATACGAATGCATGTGCGCATGCGGCCAAGGGAGATAAATAGACTAAAAACAACGGATTAAAAGGGCGAGAGATGTTTGAGCTGCTTGTATTGGAGGTACCTTCTGATAAGAAGGCCGGATTTATATTTGGTTTTTATCAATGAACACATTTTCCCTAAACTCGTCCAAGGGCCGTTATTTCTGAGCACCACTTTTTCCCACGGTCACTCTTGATCGTTTACCATCAAACATGCACTTTATCCAATAGATAGATAAAACATTCGAAGAGAAAGGGCTCTGACATCTGTACATATTTTCTTTTTTTCCCATCGGCTTACACGTTTATTATATGCGAAACAAACCTATAACATGTAATGGTCCGTCTCTTTCATTGAGTGTGAGCGGATCCGGAGAAAAGTCCGGTTGAATATAAGGGGCTTGGAAAAAAGAAAGCTGAAAACTAAAAACATATTTTGTGGTTCTCTGTGATACAAACCAGCCGCGGATCAAGATCTTTCACCTTTGGCAGTTTTCACCCTTGTGCGAAAAACATCAGTTAACTGGAAAACATTTTGCAGTGTTGTTTTGTAAAACAGCTGCATAAGCTTTATTTTGGTCGAGGCTAACAGTGATTTGTCCTTTTGATTCGCTGTGCTGCGAAACACGTCAGTTAATTGGTAGAAATTAGGGGTAATCCATTTCATCCGATACCTGACTCAAGTTTGACTCAAACAGCTGCCAGGACTGTACTCTTTAACCGAAGTTCTAGATCCAGTTATTTTTATGAGTAAGATCAGCGGAACCGTAGACATAAGGGGGTCAATACATCAAGTTCATTCAATTTCGTTCTTACCGGTTTATGCTGTTCCTCAAAGCTAAAATATGAGCCTGATCATTATCACGAATAAATAAAGACCTAGCTTCAGTTGCTATACAGTTGACCCTCGATATAACGAACCTCTATATATATAACGAAGTCCTCAGTATAACGGACGATTTTCTTTAGCCCAGTAATTGTAAAATAAATGAAAAAGAACCTCGATAAAGAGAACGAATTTTGCCTGCAGTCCCTTAGTGGCCCTTCGTTATATCGAGGTTCCACTGTAGTGCGAAATCATGAATAGATAATCATTGATCAACCATCATAATAAATAGATTTTTTTCGTCTTATTGAATGCTGCAAGGATGCCTTGCTTCACTGTATTGATCGTGCTCCGGTTGAAGTCTGATTTCTTCACTTTATTTAGAGGGTATCGTTTGTATTAGGACTCCAACATAAGTGAAAAGATCTTGCTTTATTTGCTGTACCCACAATTCGTCATCAGATGACAACCTCGTTTCCAGGGTTCTTGGGAACGAGGTTGAACAGTGAACATCAAAAGCAATTTAGGTGTGTGCATTGCCCTTGTTTCCATGGGCAGTTATCATAAGCAAACACACAACACAGGCCTTTTATTACTCTGGATTTTTCACTATAATGCGAACCCAGGACAATAACCATTAATAATGACTGCTTTAATTACTTCAAGGAGACAACGACAGTTGTGAAAACATCATCTTAATTAAGAATTACGCAGGACTCAAATCGGATTGTATATAAAGACAGGCAGATGTAGTAGTAAGATATCTTATTGTAAGTATCTCACTCCACTTTGGTCTGCAGTGTCGCCGGATTCTTTCGTTTCAAAGCCGAGTTAAGATTATGAAGACGTTTGTTATTATTAGTGTCTGTATAACGCTTACTTTGGTACGTAAAAGATATGTTAATTTTTTGTCAGTCTTAATATGGGTTCTTACACTATTCATAATTTCGTCAGTTTTCTGTATTTCTTCCAGGCATGTTCTGACCTTCCCAAGCTTGCAAATTGTGGCGAATCGGTAAGTAAAGTGATCTTAAAACGACGCGTAACTCTTCGTTAAACCATCATTTCCGATATTTTGTAGCCATGGAAATCTAAAGGAAAGGATTTTATACGGAATAGAGTCAATCAAGCAACTTTAAAAAGAGTTTCAAATCGATAAGAATCAGTAGATAGCATTTCACTAAGAAAACAGCTTTAAACATGGTTTAGATTTCATTTCGATGAGACAGCGTATAGTTTCATAACCGAACCCTTTTTTTCAGTAACGAAAAGACAATAATGAACGAAGAAAAACAAACAATCCACTTAACATTAAAAATTGAAACAAACTGGCGACAGAGTATCATGAGAAGTGTTGAGGAATCATGTACTCAGTGCTTTGGTATTTATGCGAAATTAGGGAGTTTTTAAACACATGCAATGAATTAACCTCATAACTAGAAGGTCAGAAGTGCCAGGTGTAAAACTAGATTGCGAGACTGTGAACATTGAATTTCAATGAACAGAAACACTTTCGATTTGTCAAAGGAGTTCAGTCCTACTTTGCTAACATTTTTTGGCGTTGCCATTTTAAGGAGGGGGTTTGTAGCTGTCAAGCGGGACTAGTGTGTACCGTAACCAAACAAATACTAAAGATGGGAGAAGTGATGCTGGTAAGGCAATGCATGCCAGAAGGAGAGAAAATCGAGGTGGAGACGTTAGATCTTGAGGAGGAAGAAGACACGCCCATGAGAAACAAACGCTGGCTTTGGTTCAATGTAAGAAAACTCAACATCAGTCTTGTCTTAATTTTCTACAAAATTAAAATTGATAGTTTATTGTATCTGGGTCTAGAAGGGTATTTCAGGAATCCGGGATTTGACTAAAATACATTGCGGGATTCGGCAAACATTAGAGGAATACTGGATTTGAATGGCACCTGGAAAGCTGGATTCATCAAAATGTGTTCGCGGGATGTGGGATTGGGAAAGAAAACGCTATTCGGGATACGGAAGTTCTGGACGCGGGATTCAAGTGAAAAATGAGCTAGAACGTAGAATAAGGATGCCTAGGGACTAGGACAAAAGACAAAGTTATTTTTGTACAACTCAATGTTTTTACAAGAAAACACTGTCCTCATGTTGGATAGTCTTATGTTTATTCAGTATTTTTTTCTTTTTTACCTATTTATTATTTTGTGGGTTAAGAAGTCAAAAGTGTCGCTATATTCCTTAGAATTTGAGCTTGTTTTACACTCACATAATGACTGACTATATATTTTATATTAAATTAGAGATGCAAAGCGGATAGTGACTGCAAAAAGAATTTCTGCTGTGCTTTTGGGAAGCGCTGTGCTCCAAAACTCTTCAAATACTTCACTTGCAACTTGGAGGTAAGGAACAATCTCAGGTTGTATGTTGGTGTCACTGGGGGCCGATTATTGGTCAACTGAATCTCAGTATCTCAACTTAGCCCTCAGTCTATCGAGGGTCGGTTACACTCCAGGGTGAATATGGGCAACTTGAATTCTGAATTCGGCCATGTGTCCTTCATTTCTGAAGGTCAAGCTATGAGAAATTCGAAAGCAATCACTAATCTAGGATTACTACTAAACGAAGTCAAACTTAGGCGGCGCTTTGAGGGGTTCTGCTGGTCTTCCAAATCTCTTCCTATATAAGTGTGTTGTTTTTTAAAGAGGATAATAGACTATATGCTTCCCTGAAAGTAATCGCGATAAACGGTGTTTAGATAAAAGCGTAAGGGAAAGACTGAAAATTGCTTAGAACACGGTTTTGTTTAAAACACTAGCTCAACTCCGGCCCCTGAGGTCGGAGATTCTCGTAAAACAAAGTTTTTCCCTCGGGAAAAATCTTCAAGTGTATACCGTCTACTGCCGCTTAAAAGCACTGGAGTTATACATCTTCGTAAGGGGTTTTAAGTGGGCTTATAACCGAGGGGGCTTATAACTGGAATAGAAAAAGTGCCTTGAAACAAGCTATTGCAGTGCTCATCGATCAAAATACGTTTTTCATTTACTCTTTTTTTGTTAAGCTTCTAAACGTCATTTTTGTTAATTCACTTCAATGCATTTGGAGGGGCCAAATATGCCCGAAAGGTGGGGGGGGTTGGGGAAGGGGGGGTATTATCGGATGCATTGTTTTGTTTACAGATAGACGGGCCTATAACTGGGGCAAGAGGTGGTGGGGCTTATCAGTGGGGAGGGGTATAAGCGGCGGTTTACGGAATCAGAAACAATTATTGGGTGAGGTTTTTGTTATATCCGGAATAATCAAGGTCGAGGTAAGTAAGAGGCTGATAACACTTACCGAGACCTTGATTATATCACAAAAACCAAATCTAAGCATTGTTTTATTATACATTGTTTTGAAACACATAACAACAAATACACCGATTTGACATGGCTCTTGGAATTAATGCATTACTCGCGCAACCTACAGATTAGTCAGTTATCTGCTAGCAGATAACTAACTAATTTGTGGGTTGTGCTCAGGTTGCGCTTATTTTCAAAATTAACTGTCAGATCTTAGCCAATGAGAAGAAAGATAGTGAGTACAATGTATAATAATTATTGTTATTTCTTAATTATAGAACGTGCACAAGTGTGGCTGCCGTGATGGATTGGTATGCAAACAGACAAGCTCAGTCACTCTCCCGATTATTGGTACCAAGGTACAGATAAGGCAGTGCGTAGATGCTGAAGATGCCTAACAAGAGCTTTTTTGCTTTGTCAGTAAAAGAAATAATGTATAAAGGAAGAGACTTAATAAAACAAGTAGCTGCAAAAATCTTTAAACGTATTGGTTTATTTTAATGGGATCTATGGAGGAGTTAGTTTGAGATAAAAGCGGCAGTCGGCTCTGGTTGAATATGTACCGGGTTAAGAGAAATTTTTCCATTCTACACATCCAAGGGAATCCGGATTCTCGAATCTGGGAAATCCTTGTGGAAACCGGAATCAGGGATATTTTTCTTGTGAAATTTGGAATCCTAGTCTTTGGAATCCGGAATACAGCTCAAGGAATCTGGATCCCAATGACGACAGGAATCCAGAATCCAAGTTCCACTGAGAAAGAATGCGGTACCAAGTACCTGGAATCCGGAATCCACAGCGTGGAATCCAGATTACAAGCCTGTCTTCGATTTCCTGGATTTCCTTTTCATGGGGCGACAAATACGTCTATCTAGCCCGTACGGGATGTAGAGGGGGACTTCAACAGACTTAATAGGATTACGTGAAGAGAGGTGACACAACCAGAGTTTGGCAGTTGACGATGGTTTTAATCTTTCCTTTGAAGTTAGAAACTCCTGTCTTGGCTACCTCAGATCTCAAGGCGTAACTGTGAAGCTACTCACAAGAGGTTCTATTTATATCGAACAATTAAGTTAATTGATTTTTTACAGTTTTACATGGCATTCATATGCAAGGAAAGGGTGTTAGTAAGTGTCAGAGTTTAGAAAACAAAAGGAACTGAAATTGAGTTGACTCCCGCTACGCGTGGAAGAAATTTGCAAAAATAGAAATATCTCTAACACCAAATTCCTTTACAGGGAACCAAACACTCTAAATCAGAAAGATCTGTTTTAGCCCTAAAAACAGGGCCGTTTCGGTGAGTAAAATACAGCCCTATTTTTGGGTCTAATTTGGCTCCCTTAAATCAGGGCCAATACAGTCCAATTAGCTAGGGCTGATTTGGTCCCAGGGCTGAAATGGACCCTACCGTGGGCTGGAATAGCCTTTTGATAGAGCTTTTTTGGCCTAATTGTGCGCAAATGGCTTCAAGAAGGGCTAAATCAGACTTTGGCCTGCGGGGCTGAATTGACACTTTTGGGTTGAAACAAATCTGTTTAATTTACAGTGAAACGATACTTTGGAAGAAACTAAATTTTCCTAAGATTATATAGAGAGAAATTCTAGTTTGAGGTCAGAAAAGTAAGGAAAATTTGGTTAAAACTGGTTCGACAGAGAACAAAGAACTCGAAAGGTGTTAGGACGCGTGGCCTTAGGTTAGATTTTAATGAGATAAGGAAATCTGATTATGATTCAAGTTTGGAAGCGAAAGTGAGAACCAACTCCAGGTTTAAGTAAACGAACTCCGTTAACAGGAAACGCTTGTTTTCCTATTCCACAGCTGAATACATATTTCTATCTTTTGAAAGTGTTTTTGTGTTTCTTACCATAAGCTTGAAGAGGTGTTTCTTAACCTCAGTTAAACCTTTAGTTGTGAAAGACTGAAAGTACACTTATGATGTTTACTGCAATTACCGTGCGTCCAACTTCTATTTTTAATTGATCCCAACACCAAGGAGGTCGGTGCAAAAATCCTTTAGCGAAGGACTTTACTGACCAGCAAAGGTTTGCTAGTAAAAACTAAAGTGTGTCCAGCTGTTCTGACAGCTTGTAAACATGCACCATCCTTTGTCCCTTAACAAAAGATATTTGAGATATGGTGGAACTTTTGATTTCCGAACCAACCTAAAAACAAATTTATTTATATAACATATATCCCTGAATAAAGTTAAAATGCCCAACACCGAAATAAATAGAATAAACTGAATAAATATTAATGATTACGAAGAGAAGCGCATACAATGAAGCAGACTGAGCAACAATGTACCCTAACAGGGATGTAGACAGGAGGGAGGGGTCGTATGCAAGCCCGCGCCACTTCTCCCAGCTCTAGATCAGTATAAACCTAGTGGAGAAATGACCATTTAAAACTGTCAAGCAACTGTGAAACATAAAATGTAGAGCTCATTTTGGAACAAAGTGATATCTGTCACGGAACCCTTGCATTGCCCGCTATGAATTATTCTTTACTGAAAAAATTATTAACATCCGAGTTAGCTCGAGTTAGACTGTAAAGGAACACAGAATAAGATTTATTCAGCTTTTCCTTGCAAGACGACATCTTATATTAAAAGTATATAATATTTGTATGTGATTAGATTCTACGTAAACTGCAAATATTGAGAAAAAGTGAGCAGCACGCTCGCTGGTGAGGCGACCACAATTTAAGCAGTTTAAAATCATGTAAAATAACTTAAACTATTCAATTTGTAAATTAAACGTGTCGTAATGCCCTTACCTTAAAAGGGATTGCTCTAGTAAGCTGACGTTAAGCAAGAATGCATGTATTCAGTTAGATCTGGTTCTATTTTTGCACAAAACAGTTGAATAAACTTTATTTTGTGAGAGAAAAAAATTGGTATGGTTTTATTGTTTAAAAGCTCTTATATAATCAATCTACTGCACTAACTATAAAAGAATTTATGCTGAAAGCAAAATTGCCGATGTCTAGTCTCTTCAAACACATTAAGCAAATATAGCCCGACAATAAGAAACTTCTCTCGGCGCGCAGGAAAAATAAACTCTGAGTTATCTCGGTGAACTGAACCACATTTCGTTGATCAGTTAAAGATGAAGTTAATTATCTTTTTAATTCTTTGCACTGGCTTGGTAAGTTAAAAGCTGGGCTACTTTTACATTTCTTTTCCTAAATATACTTGCAATATTATAACCAAGTCCAAGGAAGTTTCAGGTGTAAAATAAAGCTTTCTAAAAACACTCTTATGCCGGAATATTGGCATTCAATCACGGTTCCTCATTTATTTTTTTCAAAAAACATTACATTTTCCCCAGGCTTGCGCAGATCTTTCCAAGTTTAAAGTTTGCAACAGACCGGTAAGTTCTGAGGCTTTGTTCCGTGGTAAATGGTAATCCCGTATTGGAGGTAATTGGCACGACATCAAAGATTTTATTAGTCAAACATGAGGGCCTGAATGTACGATACTGAGAACTTAACTGGTTAGAAAAGTGCTATGATCTCGTAGGCTTCACTGGTACCATTAAATATATATTGAAGACTGAATAGGTAAGTCGTTACAACGTTTTTTGCTACGATGTTAAAGAATTTATTGGCAACTTTTTCAAGGTTTGCCTGCTACGGCTTTAAAAAAAATCTATTGACATTGACAGATTTATTCACGTTAAAGGCGTCGTCAGTAAAGCTGGTGTTTTATTTTATTTTTCTGTTCTACTCCTTCACTCAGTTATCCGAGGAGCTGTTTTACTCGATTTTTTCTCACGATGTATCTGTTTTCAGGACGGCGACGACTATAGTTGCCAAGCTGGATTGTCCTGTGTGCAGACCAAGCTTTTCATCATGAAAGGACAAAAAGCCTACGTCAAACAGTGCGTGCCGGAAGGAATGAAGATCGACGTCGAAACAGTCAACAAGGATCATGATCAAGCCTCCAGAAACAGTCGATTATTACCTGGATTACCTCAGTTACCAGGCCAAGTAAGAAACTAACAAAAAAAGAACAAATAACACTATCGACACAATTTACCACACCAGAACGTGTTATAGGCAACAATGGCCGACAATTGCTCAAGATGCCACTCCCAAATCGAACAAAACCCGTGGGACTCCACCGGGTCTAACTCCTTTCCCTTTAGTGAAAAGTAGTTTAATTGGGTTTGAATGTAGACCCATCACCAGACTTCTCTTAACTGAATCTCGAGAGATTTAAACCAACAACAACAACAGGGACGTAACAATCGCTCAGGGGCCACACCTAGCTATATGGTGGGTTGGGATGATGCCTTGCATGGGACCTTTGAGTCCTGTTCGTACCCCTCGCTAGTGGGTAGGTCGTTGGCCATTCAAGCGGTAAGTCCCCTCCAAATTGGTGATGGAGTCAACGCCAACGGCATTGAGGTTTGGGCTGAAAAGTCTCTGTTTCAATCTCAATTAATGGTAAGTAACTTAAATAGCCTTTCCCAACACATCATTTTTAAAACAATTGCTTGTTGTTTCTTATACAGAGTTGCCGTTCTGAGGGTGATTGCCAACAGAATCAGTGCTGTGCCCGCTTTGTCAACCGATGCCTTCCAAAACTGCCAGAGATGGCAGAATGCTCTCTAAAGGTATATGTTAAAGTCTTTATGTTACTGTCAGCTATACGGGTACCAGATGACTCCGCTCGAGAGAGGTTCCCTTTTAATGCCTATGAAAGGATACGGAAGTTTGTCTTTTATTAGGGTATTTATAACAGGCTCACCTTTTACCGGCCCTATCAGTTACATTTAATTATCAAATGCTGCATGAAATTGACAAGAGCACCTTCTGTGAAATATGTACCATTTAGCGGTACCTTTTCTAGTCTGTGAAAAGGTAAGGGGTTGAACTCGGCTCAGGGCTGAGTCTTTAGTATATATAACTTAGTTGAGTAGCCCAACCCTCCAGGAGATTTCCGTAATGCTGGTGTTCATAGGTTACAAAAAGTGGCTTTAAACACCACTGCAGTAAGTCAAATGTTACAATATATTCAGTTTGCCCAAAAGAGTGCTTTCTTTTTTCAACTCTAGATATTACACAACTGTGGCTGTCAAGATGGACTTAAATGCCAAAAGACGGGCGAAGTCACGATTCCGATCATTGGCATCAAAGTTCCGCTACTGCAGTGCGTGTCGTCCCTCCCAGGCGGAGATATTTCTTAGAAAGCTTTGACTGACACACGAAGTTATAGCTATAGTATACGTAGTTGAAATAAAAGAACACTTTAAGACCCCTTAAAGTCTAAGACTGTTGTACCTCTTGCCTAAGATTACTCTCCCAATATTCTTTGTTTTGTCGAATTTTCCTTTTTAGGAAGAGATAAGTGACAATTTGACAACTAACAATAAAAAGGTGTTGGTTTCAAAAGAAACTGAGTTATTGCGTTGGTAACGGGAGTGAAAGACTACGACATTCTAGTTGTTAAGGTGAATTTACCACCGTAAAAGAGCTGAAAAGATCAGTAACGTTTCGAGCCGGATAGCCCTTTGTAATTCTACCGCAATATACAGGTAAAGGCTCCCCGGGGGGTACACAATAAAAAGCAAGGGGAGGCTCCACCCAGAAGTCCAACCATACCAATTTTTTCACTGACAAATGCTATATCCCTTTCACCTACTAGCTTGGAGCGTTATATCCCTTTCAAATTTTGCAAATGCACAGTCTTTTAAATACAAACAACTCAGTAAACAGAGAAGTTTTTTTGGCTTTTTCACAGCTATAAAATGCGTCTGTCAGCCCCTTTAGGTCCTTTCACAGACCGCAATGACCGATTTCCCTACCCTGTTTCTTCGCAGAAAAATTATTTGAAAAATGATTTACCACGTAGACGCTAATGTGATGTATGTCGCACCATAAAATGAGATTTAAAAAGGACATCTTTACATAGCAAATGAGGCTTTGCCTTTGAATGCAGCTAAATCAACTCATTGGGTTATTTTAATTCATTTGAGGTTTTCGAAAGCAAAAATGTTGTGGGTAATGTCAACACCCCCCAATGTGGACGTCCTTGACATTTTTTACGAGTAAATATACGCACGCAATAATAGTTATTCTGCCAGTTACAAAGTACAGACACAGAAAGAAAAAAATAATTTTCTTAAAAACATTGAAACAACACTTACAATCAAGCTTCAGTCTCAGTAAAAATATTTGGCACACTTGATTGTATCCTCGCCTTCCCATCTCCTTGGGCCTCCTGTTCAGCGGTTAGTCGACGGCAAAGAACCTGAGGTCTAGTAATGTCGCGATAGACCGGGATGACGCTTCCGAAAGGAGTCGAGTGCTGAAGAAAATTCTCGATTAACTCTTATGCTTCCAGTTCTTGGCAAACCAACTCTTTTTTTTTTCTACTAAGTCATGAATTGCGTGGCGAGCGTTATGAAAAGAAATGACTCCGGAATGACTTTCATGGCTTCAAAATGCCGCCATTTCGTGATCCGACCCTTAATTACGGGTTGTGAGCACTAAAGAAAAAGGAAGAAAGAAGATTTTTGAGGCCCTTTTTTGATATACCGAGGCGTCTTTCATACTTTTATATATCAACTATGAATATTTTTGTTGATTTCCGGGAACATCCTTGATGTTGCTTGATTTGAAACACTGGTGTTAGACAAAGACGGAAGTCTGTCAGGTAAAAATGTAAAATTCTATGGTTTGTTTAGAAAGTTACAGAACAGAAAGCTCAAATAAGGCTGGTGAGGTTCCATACTGGAGTCTTTGGGTAGTTTTCGCTATTACTTTTGGGCTCAAAAATACGATTTTTCAAAATCAAATGCAGACTCTGAAAGAAAATTGACCCGGTAACATGAACGAAATTCGCGCCCTTTGAATACAAATGAAATTGAAAAGCTCGTCATACTTTATTGCATATTAATTGTCAGGAGCAACTCTTCACGCGGTTAAATAGAGTCAACTAACGTTTCCAAAAATTGTCCGTCTCCTTCTCCAATTTGAATCGAGTTTCACGGTTCCACTGTTCTAGTTACGAGAGGATGCTATCCATCCGACGCGAGAGTACGTTCGAGCCCAGTTCCTCGAAAATCGTTAAGCATAAGCAAGGATTGAATAGTCCAAATTTTATTTGAGGTTTTCTTATGTGAGAACATTAATGAGCCTTTACGTGGAGATGAAGTTGTGGTAAAACAATGGAAGTAAACTACAAAAATGAGACCTTCTTAGTGGTGGGGGAGTACGTATGTCCCTATACGGTATTTTTACTTTGTATTTGCGTTTCGTGAAGTTGTGCAGAGAAAACAAAAGCGATACAGTTGTTTGTCTTATGACTAATCAGCGATCACTTTACAGGGGTACCCAGGGTCAATTTTTGGAGAATATCTGTTCGAAAGACGATTTGAGATCTAGAATTTTCGGAACAATTGCTGTAAAAATTTATTGCGTGCCTGACTCTCCTAGGATTTTCGAACATCCAAAAATGGTATAATTGCCCATTTTTAACGGATTTTTACCCTTTGAAAGGTCACCTAGAATTTTCGGGAGCCTTTTTATGGCTAAAATTTTCGAAAAGGTAAGTTTTGATCCCTATGATTTTCGGATCACTAGACTTTCAGCTAGGAAATCCGAACAGATGAAAAATTTTTAGGGGATAAAAATATGCCTATCTCTACCGTTTAAATACTAAAGTACGTTAAACAATGCTGTGTTTAAGTGGTTTTGAACCTAATTCTCGTTGGGTGACCCTGACTTTACTATCCCGCTTTCTCGAATGGCTTCGAAAGATCAACGCCATAACTAACTGATACTGAGTAATAAAACGTTGCAATACCTGGTTCATTAATAACATACTTCAGTGTAATGTCACGTTCCCTTCTCTCTTCTAAACCCCAAATTACATCACAAAGTGAAAATTCTAATTTAATTCTCAACACGAAAGAAACTTGTCGCGTTTCAATGTAAATAAAGTGTGTCGATTCAGCTTTTTATTCCCGTCGCAGAAAAATTTCCGGATCCCAACTTTCAATTGATTTTAACTAGTTTCTCAACGTTTTCCTCAGTTTTTAGAGGACAGTCATCCTCGCCCGAGTTTCAAGCGCTTTGTCGCCAGTGAAGTTGGCCCTGGCTGTACGGCAATTAAAGTGCGTCTTTGACTTTATATGTCTATTCTCTTATAAGGAACTATAAGACCATGTGTGGGAAAAATGAGAAACGTTTTACTTATATGGTTATTTGTTACACGTGAAGGTAACCGATGACAAAGCGTTACAGATATTGTCTTCTTTTTAAACGTTTTCTTCACAGTAAAGTTTCGCAGGTTTAGGTTCGAAAATCAACAAAGTCCAGCGGTAGAATTAGAAAATGAGTTATTCTTTTCCTTTAATGAATAAAGCGCTCGTTGATAAAATAGTTATTTAGTAGGCCGTCTGCTTTTATGTAACTGGCTTACAAAGAGAGATTCACTCAATATAGTTCCCGAAACACTAATAGCGACAAATGTGGGAACAATAGCTTCCCTTATCGCAGGGTGTGTTTTTGGTTGCCTTTTTGTGTAGTTTGGCCTTATAGTTTCGTATTTCCTTTAATCGAATTATTTATTAATAATTTGTGCCTTACTTTTGGTAACCGGAGACTCGTCTGCTCTTGAGAAACAGCACAAAATCAAACATTGATCACAACCGGGGTAAAAAATACTGAAGATAACTGCTTCTAAACAAATTGCACCTGTGATTTCATAATTGATAATTAACGTCTCAGAAGAAGGGGTTAAAATAGGAAAATAATCTTAATAACCATGGGTAAGCAAATCACAGAAGAGCTCAAATAAAAAGAGCTGTTAAAAAGACCTAATGTACATAGTATTGGGTACTTATCGTTTTCATGCATTAATGCCACATGCAGCATCTTTATACCAAAAGTTTATAGAAAAGGACCTTTTTTCACAAAAAGCAGCGTGCAAATTAATATTAGACCATTGAATTTTGTTTCAGAATTTACGGCGAAAGTTTTGACCCATAAAACGATCAAAGACTAACAATCAGTTTATTAGGTTGAGTTTGATCGTCCGGGTGAACGTAGTCCTGAATAGGACTGTTGTTGTTGACAGTGACTGACGTTTCAACAACCTGTGCGGTAGTCATCTTCAGAGGACTCTGAAGATTACTACCGTACAGGTTGTCGAAACGTCAGTCACTGTCAACAACAACAGTCCTATTCAGGACTACGTTCACCCGGACGATCAAATTCAACCTACTTTTGAAATGACTCCTGTGTTCAAACCTTTCACAATCAATTTATTATAAATCTTCAAGTTTGTTATCAGTATGGTATGGAAAGCGTACGAAAACTGAAACACTGAAGTCAACTTATTATATGTAAATTTAATCATGGACTCGATTAACCGTGTTATGGTAAAAAGACCGAAGGAATCTGTTTTCAACACCTGGTTCATTAATAACGTATTCAGTGTAATTTCACGTTCCCTTCTAAACCCCAAATTACATCTCAAAGTGAAAATGCTAATTCAATTCTCAACACGAAAGAAACTTGTTGCGTTTCAATGTAAACAGACCCGACCTATCCAATCGAACAAAACCGAACAAAAAACCAATCGAACCCAATCGAACTCCAATCGTTCGATTGGGTTGGGCAATCGAACAAAATCGAACACCTATTTTGCGGTGAGTTCGATTTTCGAACCAATCGAACCAATTAATGTAATCGAAGAAAATCGAACAAAATCGAACTAATCCAATGCAATTGTCTCTTGACGCCTCAAACTGAGTAAAACACGTGGAATATAATCATTGTCAGCTTTTATTGAATAAACAGGAACTGAACATCATACTGCAAGAATGTCAATGTTCGAACAAAACAAAACAAATAAAAGGCAATTTCGATGACTGTTAAGGTACTGTGACTGTTAAAACGAAATGCTTCTCAACAGAGAAAAATCGCACCATTTCAACAACAGCAACACAGGCAGTTGTGTTTAAAATTACTATTATAATAAGCAAGATGTCCTAACTGCCCTTTAGTGTTGGTAACCTTGAATGCTCTTCCCTTATAGCCAATCTTCTTAAAGATAAAGAATTCGTCTCCCACATCAACAGTAAAATTACATTCTTGGTAACCTTTTACACTGCATGTAATTTCAATACATGCAGTGTCCTCCCTCTCCTCCGTGTTTGACATTTCAGACATTTCAGTCCTGGGTTTCAGTGTTCAGCAAAAGCCGCGTAAAAAGGGAAGGGAGTTAGCGGTGATTCTTTCACCTTCGGAATTTTCCAATACCACGTGCCTATCATGCGATGCGGCGTCCGTTAATCGAACGTTCGATTATACCAATCGTTCGGTAATCGAACGTTCGATTGGGTTCGATTACCAATCGTTCGGTAATCGAACGTTTGATTGTGTTCGATTGGCAAAATTTTATTGTGAATTCGATTATGTTCGATTGAGTTCAGCAATCAAACGATTGGTGTTCGATTGGGTTCGATTGCCGAACTGTTCGATTGGATAGGTCGGGAAACAGAGTGTGTCGATTCAGCTACTTATACCCGTCGCAGAAATATTTCCGGATCCCAACATTTAATTGATTTTAACTAGTTTCTCGACGTTTTCCTCAGTTTTTAGAGGAGTACATCCTCACCCGAGTTTCAAGCGCTTTGTCGCCAGCAAAGTTGTGATCAGGCCCGGGCTGACTTTATATGTCTATTCTCCAATAAGGAACAATAAGACCATGTGTGGGAAAAATGAGAAACGTTTTACTTATATGGTTATTTTTTACAAGTGAAGGTAACCGATGACAAAGCGTTACAGATATTGTCTTCTTTTTAAACGTTTTCTTCACAGTAAAGTTTCGCAGGTTTAGGTTCGAAAATCAACAAAGTCCAGCGATAGAATTAGAAAATGAGTTGTTCTTTTCCTTTAATGAATAAAGCGCTTTTTGATAAAATAGCTATTAAGTACGCCGTCTGCTTTTATGTAGCTGGCTTACGAAGAGAGATTCACTCAATATAGTTCCCGAAATACTAATAGCGACAAATGTGGAAACAATAGCTTCCCTTATCACAGGGTGTGTTTTTGGTTGCCTTTTTGTGTAGTTTGGCCTGATAGTTCGTATTTCCTTTAATCGAATTATTTATTAATAATTTGTGCCTTACTTTTGGTAGCCGGAGACTCGTCTGCTCTTGAGAAACAGCACAAAATCAAACATTGATCACAACCGGGGTAATAAATACTAAAGATAACTGCTTCTAAACAAATTCCACCTGTGATTTCATAATTGATAATTAACGTCTCAGAAACAAGCCATTTACACCACCATGCAAAAGGAGTTTCTCCTCAACCATCGTTAGAAAGATAGTTTTGGTTTTACGAATATCATCTCTCATTGACTGCTTTTCCGAATTAGAATTCGGAACCCAGAAAATAAATACTGCAATTTAGTAACCTTTCCATTATCACGCTGTAAAAACGATGTTGAAATTGTGATCATAAAAGGGGTTAAAATAGGAAAATAATCTTAATAGTTTAAACCATGGGTAAGCAAATCACAGAAGAGCTCAAATAAAAAGAGCTGTTAAAAAGACCTAATGTACGTAGTATTGGGTACTTATCGTTTTCATGCATTAATGCCACATGCAGCATCTTTATACCAAAAGTTTATAGAAAAGGACCTTTTTTCACAAAAAGCAGCGTGCAAATTAATATTAGACCATTGAATTTTGTTTCAGAATTTAAGGCGAATGTTTTGACCCATAAAACGATCAAAGACTAACAATCAATTTATTAGGTTGAGTTTGATCGTCCGGGTGAACGTAGTCCTGAATAGGACTGTTGTTGTTGACAGTGACTGAAGTTTCAACAACCTGTGCGGTAGTCATCTTCAGAGGACTCTGAAGATGACTACCGCACAGGTTGTCGAAACGTCAGTCACTGTCAACAACAACAGTCCTATTCAGGACTACGTTCACCCGGACGATCAAGCTCAACCTACTTTTGAAATGACTCCTGTGTTCAAACCTTTCACAATCAATTTATTATAAATCTTCAAGTTTGTTATCAGTATGGTATGGAAAGCGTACGAAAACTGAAACACAGAAGTCAACTTATTATATGTAAATTGAATCATGGACTCGATTAACTGTGTTATGGTGAAAAAGACCGAAGAAATCTATTTTCAATTTTTTTGTCCACATTAATTCAAGACTCAGCCTAACGTGGGCTCGTCATGCACATAGAAGCTAAGTGTCAATATGCCATGTATCTAAGAGTAATTAAACCAGAGCTAATATTTGATCCACCGAATCGTAGAACTTCCTTTGGTAAATTATTGCAGAAGGAAGTCATTCACAGACGAAAAAGGACACGTTTGCAAATTGACACAAAATACAGATCTAGTTCTTGGACCTGCTACAAATTAGACGGAAAGTATAAGGCCTTGTTTCCTAATAACACTTTTAGGTTAGGCTTGGACCTAGAAACAGTTGTTATCGGCGGTGGAAGCAGCTGAAAGTGAAGACCCATGATAAAATTCTGAAACATGAACTTGAAATTTATTACAAGTCCTGTTGGTGTAATTAATATATGAATGCCTCGTTATAATGTATTGCATCATTTCTTGGTGAAAAGTACTTGACATGTTTTTCTACTCGTATGAAAAATGAATAAATTAAACAAAATCAGATAGTATAAATCATTAGTCTACAGTTCGCGGCTTCATTCTCTGATCACTTTTCACAGGGTTAATATCCAAGAGCTGGCAAGATCATGAAGTTCGTGCTTATCATTGTCGCGTCAGTTTGTGCCAACTTGTATTTCTGTACGGCAGGAAATACTTCAGGAAGTCAAGTAAGATAATCCACCATTCGCTAACTTTTCACAACTTAAGTTTCTTATTTCATGATTTAAAAGTTCATTCTTTTACGATATAGTCAGGGGCACCCAACGTCAATTTTCGGAAAATATCTTTTCGGAAGACGATTTGAGATCTAGAATTTTCGGAACATTTGTTGTAAAATTTCTTGCTTGCCTACATCTCCCTAAGGTTTTCGAACATCTAAAAAATGGCATAATTGCCAATTTTTAACGGATTTTTACCCTAAAAAGGTCACCTAGAATTTTCGGGAGCCTTTTTTCTGGCTGAAATTATCGAAAAGGTAAGTTTTGATCGCTATGATTTACGGATCACTAGAACAGATGAAAACTTTTTAGGGGATAAAAATACGCTTCTATCTACCTTTTAAATACTAAAATACGTTTAACAATGCTATGTTTATTATAATCAATCTACTGCACTAACTATAAAAGAATTTAAGCTGAAAGCAAAATTGCCGATGTCTAGTCTCTTCAAACACATTAAGCAAATATAGACTGACAATAAGAAACTTCTCTCAGCGCGCAGGAAAAATAAACTCTGAGTTATCTCGGTCAACTGAGCCGACATTTCGTTGCTCAGTTAAAGATGAAGTTAATTATCTTTTTCTTTGCACTAGCTTGGTAATTAAGTTAAACGCTGGGCTACTTTTACATTTCTCTTCCTACATATACTTGCAATACTAGGAAGTTTCAGGTGTAAAATAAAGCTTTCTAAAAACACTCTTATGTCGAAATGTTGACATTCAATCACAGTTGCTCATTTATTTTTTGCAAAAAACATTACATTTTCTCCAGGTTCGCGCAGAACTTTCCAAGTTTAAAGTTTGCAACAGACCGGTAAGTCCTGAGGCTTTGTTCCTTGGTAAATGGTAGTCCCGTATTGGAGGTAATTGGCACGACATCAAAGATTTTATTAGTCAAACATGAGGGCCTGAATGTACGATATTGAGAACTTAACTGGTTAGAAAACTGCTATGATCTCGTAGGCTTTTGGTACCATTAATATATTGAAGACTGAATAGGTAAGTCGTTAAAAGGTTTTTTGCTACGATGTTAAAGAATTTATTGGCAACTTTTTTAAGGTTTGCGTGCCACGACTTTAAAAAAAATCTATTGACATTGACAGATTTATTCATGTTAAAGGCGTCGTCGGTAAAGCTGGTGTTTTATTTTATTTTTCTGTTCTACCCCTTCACTCAGTTATCCGAGGAGCTGTTTTACTCGATTTTTTCTCATTATGTATCTATTTTCAGGACGGCGACGACTATAGTTGCCAAGCTGGATTGTCCTGTGTCCAGACCAAGCTTTTCATCATGAAAGGACAAAAAGCCTACGTCAAACAGTGCGTGCCGGAAGGAATGAAGATCAACGTGGAAACAGTCAACAAGGATCATGATCAAACCTCCAGAAACAGCCGATTATTGCCCGGATTACCTCAGCTACCACGCCAAGTAAGAAACTAACAAAAAAAGAGGGGTTTTGCAAATAACACTCTTGACACAATTTACCACACTAGAAAGTACTGTAGGCAACCATGGCCGACAACTCCTCAAGATGCCGCTCCCAAATCGAACAAAACCCATGGGACTACACCGGGTCTAACTCCTTTCCTTTTAGTGAAAAGTAGTTTAGGCAAATTGGGTTTGTATGTAGACCCATCTTCAGAATTCTCTTAACTGAATCTTGTGGGATTTAAAACAACAACAACAACTAACTACAGGGACGTAACAATCGCTCAGGGGCCACACCTAGCTATATGGTGGGTGGGGATGATGCCTTGCATGGGACCTTTGAGTCCTGTTCGTACCCCTCCCTAGTGAGTAGGTCGTTGGCCAATCAAGCGGATAAGTCCTCTCCAAATTATAATTAGTGACGGAGTCAACGCCAACGGCATTGAGGTTTGCGCTGAAAAGTCTCTGTTTCAATCTCAGTTACCGGTAACTAACACTTAATAGCCTTTCACAACACATCATTTTTTAAACAATTGCTTGTTGTTTCTTAAGCTTCTACAGAGTTGCCGTTCTGAGAGTGATTGCGAACAGAATCAATGCTGTCCTCGCTTTGTCAACCTATGCCTTCCAAAACTGCCAGAGATGGCAGAATGCTCTCTAAAGGTATATGTTAAAGTCTTTATGTTACTGTCAGCTATACGGGTGCCAGATGACTCCGCTCGAAAGAGGTTCCCTTTTCATGCCTCGGGTATTTTTCCACGAGTTAATGCCGGCTATGAAAGGGTGCTGAAGTTTGCCGAGCATTAGAGTATTTATAACAGGCGCACCTTTCACCGGCTCTATCACCTGCATTTAATTATCAAATGCTGTAAGAAATTGACAAGAGCACCTTCTGTGAAATATGTACCATTTAGCGGTATACCTGTTCTGGTATGTAAAAAGGTAAGGGGTTGAACTCGGCTCAGGGCTGAGTCTTTAGTATATAACTTAGTTGAGTAGCCCAATCTTCCAGGAGATTCCCGTAATGCTGGTGTTCATAGGTTACAAAAAGTGGCTTTAAACAACAGTGCAGTAAGTCAAATGTACAATATATTCAGTTTGCCCAAAAGAGTGCTTTCTTTTTTCAACTCTAGGAATTACACAACTGTGGCTGTCAAGATGGACTTAAATGCCAAAAGACGGGCGAAGTCACGATTCCGATCATTGGCATCAAAGTTCCGCTGCTGCAGTGCGTGTCGTCCCTCCCAGGCGGAGATACTTCTTAGAAAGCTTTGACTGACACACGAAGTTATAGCTATAGTATACGTAGTTGAAATAAAAAAACACTTTAAGACCCCTTAAAGTCTAAGACTGTTGTACCTCTTGCCTATGATTACTCTCCCATATATTCTTTGTTTTGTCGAATTTTCCTTTTGAAAAAGAGATAAGTGACAATTTGACAACTAACAATAAAAAGGTGTTGGTTTTAAAAGAAACTGAGTTATTGTGTTGGTAACGGGAGTGAAAGACTACGACATTCTAGTTGTTAAGGTGAATTTACCACCGTAAAACAGCTGAAAAGGTCAGTAACGGTTCAAGCAAGATAGCCCTTTGTAATTCTACCGCGATATACAGGTAAAGGCTCCCCGGGGGTACACAATAAAAAGCAAGGGGAGGCTCCACCCAGAAGTCCAACCATACCAATTTTTGACAGAAAAAGAACCCCTTTCGTTTTTCACTGACAAATGGTATCCCTTTCACCTACTAGCTTAGAGCGTGATATCCCTTTCAAATTTTGCAAATGCACCGTCTTTTAAATACAAACAACTCAGTAAACAGAGAAGTTTTTTTGGCTTTTTCACAGCTATAAAATGCGTCTGTCAGCCCTTTTAGGTCCTTTCACAGACCGCAATGACCGATTTCCCTACCCTGTTTCTTCGCAGAAAAATTGTTTGAAAAATGATTTACCACGTAGACGCTAATGTGATGTATGTCGCACCATAAAATGAGATTTAAAAAGGACACCTTTACATAGCAAATGAGGCTTTGCCGTTAAATGCAGCTAAATCAACTCATTGGGTTATTTTAATTCATTTGAGGTTTTCGAAAGCAAAAAATGTTATGGCTAATGTCAACACCCCCCAATGTGGACGTTCTTGACATTTTTTACGAGTAAATATACGCACGCAATAATGGTTATTCTGCCGGTTACAAAGTACAGACACAGAAAGAAAAAATGATTTTCTTAAAAACATTGAAACAACACTTACAATCAAGCTTCAGTCTTAGTAAAAATATTTGGCACACTTGATTGTATCCTCGCCTTCCCATCTCCTTGGGCCTCCTGTTCAGCGGTTAGTCGACGGCAAAGAACCTGAGGTCTAGTAATGTCGCGATAGACCGGGATGACGCTTCCGAAAGGAGTCGAGTGCTGAAGAAAATTCTCGATTAACTCTTATGCCTCCAGTTCTTGGCAAACCAACTCTTTTTTTTTTTTCTACTAAGTCATGAATTGCTGGCGAGCGATATGAAAAGAAATGACTCCGGAATAACTTTCATGGCTTCAAAATGCCGCCATTTCGTGATCCGACCCTTAATTACGGGTTGTGAGCACTAAAAAAAAGGAAGAAGGAAGATTTTTGAGGCCCTTTTTTGATATATCGAGGCGTCTTTCATACTTTTATATATCAACTATGAATATTTTTGTTGATTTCCGGGAACATCCTTGATGTTGCTTGATTTTAAACACTGGTGTTAGACAAAGACGGAAGTCTGTCAGGTAAAAATGTAAAATTCTATGGTTTGTTTAGAAAGTCACAGAACAGAAAGTTCAAATAAGGCTGGTGAGGTTCCATACTGGAGTATTTGGGTAGTTTTCGCTATTACTTTTGGGCTCAAATGCAGACTCTGAAAGAAAATTGATCCCGCAACATGAACGAAATTCGCGCCCTTTGAATACAAATGAAATTGAAAAGCTCGTCATACTTTATTGCATATTAATTGTCAGGAGCAACTCTTCACGCGGTTAAATAGAGTCAACTAACGTTTCCAAAAATTGTCCGTCTCCTTCTCCAATTTGAATCGAGTTTCACGGTTCCACTGTTCTAGTTACGAGAGGATGCCAAGCATCCGACGCGAGAGTACGTGCGAGCCCAGTTCCTCGAAAATCATTACGCATAAGCAAGGATTAAATAGTCCAAATTTTATTTGAGGTTTTCTTATGTGAGAACATTAATGAGCCTTTACTTGGAGATGAAGTTGTGGTAAAACAATGGAAGTAAAGTACAAAAATGAGGCCTTCTTAGTGGTGGGGGAGTACGTATGTCCCTAAACGGTATTTTTACTTTGTATTTGCGTTTTGTGAAGTTGTGGAGAGAAAACAAAAGCGATACAGTTGTTTGTCTTATGACTAATCAGCGATCACTTTACAGTGGCACCCAGCGTCAATTTTTGGAAAATATCTGTTCGAAAGACGATTTGAGATCTAGAATTTTAGGAACATTTGCGGTAAAAATTTATTGCGTGCCTGACTCTCCTAGGATTTTCGAACATCCAAAAATGGTATAATTGCCCATTTTTAACGGAGTTTTACCCTTTGAAAGGTCATCTAGAATTTTCGGGAGCCTTTTTATGGCTAAAATTTTCGAAAAGGTAAGTTTTGATCCCTATGATTTTCGGATCACTAGACTTACAGCTAGGAAATCCGAACAGATGAAAAATTTTTAGGGGATAAAAATATGCCTATCTCTACCGTTTAAATACTAAAATACGTTAAACAATGCTGTGTTTAAGTCGTTTTGAACTTAATTCTCGTTCGGTGCCCCTGACTTTACCATCCCGCTTTCTCGAATGGCTTCGAAAGATCAACGCCATAACTAACTGATACTGAGTAATAAAACGTTGCAATACCTGGTTCATTAATAACATACTTCAGTGTAATGTCACGTTCCCTTCTCTCTTCTAAACCCCAAATTACATCACAAAGTGAAAATTCTAATTTAATTCTCAACACGAAAGAAACTTGTCGCTTTTCAATGTAAATAAACTGTGTCGATTCAGCTTTTTATTCCCGTCGCAGAAAAATTTCCGGATCCCAACTTATTCAATTGATTTTAACTAGTTTCTCAACGTTTTCCTCAGTTTTTAGAGGACAGTCATCCTCGCCCGAGTTTCAAGCGCTTTGTCGCCAGCGAAGTTAGCCCTGGCTGTACGGCAATTAAAGTGCGTCTTTGACTTTATATGTCTATTCTCTAATGAGGAACAACAAGACCATGTGTGGGAAAAATGAGAAACGTTTTACTTATATGGTTATTTGTTACAAATGAAGGTAACCGATGACAAAGCGTTACAGATATTGTCTTCTTTTTAAACGTTTTCTTCACAGTAAAGTTTCGCAGGTTTAGGTTCGAAAATCAACAAAGTCCAGCGATAGAATTAGAAAATGAGTTATTCTTTTCCTTTCATGAATAAAGCGCTCGTTGATAAAATAGTTATTAAGTACGCCGTCTGCTTTTATGTAACTGGCTTACGAAGAGAGATTCACTCAATATAATTCCCGAAACACTAATAGCGACAAATGTGGGAACAATAGCTTCCCTTATCGCAGGGTGTGTTTTTGGTTGCCTTTTTGTGTAGTTTGGCCTTATAGTTTCGTATTTCCTTTAATCGAAATATTTATTAATAATTTGTGCCTTACTTTTGGTAGCCGGAGACTCGTCTGCTCTTGAGAAACAGCTCAAAATCAAACATTGATCACAACCGGGGTAAAAAATACTAAAGATAACTGCTTCTAAACAAATTGCACCTGTGATTTCATAATTGATAATTAACGTCTCAGAAGAAGGGGTTAAAATAGGAAAATAATCTTAATAACCATGGGTAAGCAAATCACGGAAGAGCTCAAATAAAAAGAGCTGTTAAAAAGACCTAATGTACGTAGTATTGGGTACTTATCGTTTTCATGCATTAATGCCACATGCAGCATCTTTATACCAAAAGTTTATAGAAAAGGAGCTTTTTTCACAAAAAGCAGCGTGCAAATTAATATTAGACCATTGAATTTTGTTTCAGAATTTAAGGCGAAAGTTTTGACCCATAAAACGATCAAAGACTAACAATCAGTTTATTAGGTTGAGTTTGATCGTCCGGGTGAACGTAGTCCTGAATAGGACTGTTGTTGTTGACAGTGACTGACGTTTCAACAACCTGTGCGGTAGTCATCTTCAGAGGACTCTGAAGATTACTACCGTACAGGTTGTGTCATCTGTCAACAACAACAGTCCTATTCAGGACTACGTTCACCCGGACGATGACTTTTGAAATGACTCCTGTGTTCAAACCTTTCACAATCAATTTATTATAAATCTTCAAGTTTGTTATCAGTATGGTATGGAAAGCGTACGAAAACTGAAACACAAAAGTCAACTTATTATATGTAAATTTAATCATGGACTCGATTAACCGTGTTATGGTAAAAAGACCGAAGGAATCTGTTTTCAACACCTGGTTCATTAATAACGTATTCAGTGTAATTTCACGTTCCCTTCTAAACCCCAAATTACATCTCAAAGTGAAAATGCTAATTCAATTCTCAACACGAAAGAAACTTGTTGCGTTTCAATGTAAACAGACCCGACCTATCCAATCGAACAAAACCGAACAAAAAACCAATCGAACCCAATCGAACTCCAGTCGTTCGATTGGGTTGGGCAATCGAACAAAATCGAACACCTATTTTGCGGTGAGTTCGATTTTCGAACCAATCGAACCAATATAATCGAAGAAAATCGAACAAAATCGAACTAATCCAATGCAATTGTCTCTTGACGCCTCAAACTGAGTAAAACACGTGGAATATAATCATTGTCAGCTTTTATTGAATAAACAGGAACTGAACATCATACTGCAAGAATGTCAATGTTCGAACAAAACAAAACAAATAAAAGGCAATTTCGATGACTGTTAAGGTACTGTGACTGTTAAAACGAAATGCTTCTCAACAGAGAAAAATCGCACCATTTCAACAACAGCAACACAGGCAGTTGTGTTTAAAATTACTATTATAATAAGCAAGATGTCCTAACTGCCCTTTAGTGTTGGTAACCTTGAATGCTCTTCCCTTAGAGCCAATCTTCTTAAAGATAAAGAATTCGTCTCCCACATCAACAGTAAAATTACATTCTTGGTAACCTTTTACACTGCATGTAATTTCAATACATGCAGTGTCCTCCCTCTCCTCCGTGTTTGACATTTCAGACATTTCAGTCCTGGGTTTCAGTGCTCAGCAAAAGTCGCGTAAAAAGGGAAGGGAGTTAGCGGTGATTCTTTCACCTTCGGAATTTTCCAATACCACGTGCCTATCATGCGATGCGGCGTCCGTTAATCGAACGTTCGATTATACCAATCGTTCGGTAATCGAACGTTCGATTGGGTTCGATTACCAATCGTTCGGTAATCGAACGTTCGATTGTGTTCGATTGGCAAAATTTTATTGTGAATTCGATTATGTTCGATTGAGTTCAGCAATCGAACGATTGGTGTTCGATTGGGTTCGATTGCCGAACTGTTCGGTTGGATAGGTCGGGAAACAGAGTGTGTCGATTCAGCTACTTATACCCGTCGCAGAAAAATTTCCGGATCCAAACATTTCATTGATTTTAACTAGTTTCTCGACGTTTTCCTCAGTTTTTAGAGGAGTACATCCTCACCCGAGTTTCAAGCGCTTTGTCGCCAGCGAAGTTGGCCCTGGCTGTACGGCAATTAAAGTGCGTCTTTGACTTTATATGTCTATTCTCTAAAAAGGAACAATAAGACCATGTGTGGGAAAAATGAGAAACGTTTTCCTAATATGGTTATTTGTTACAAATGAAGGTAACCGATGACAAAGCGTTACTGATATTGTCTTCTTTTTAAACGCTTTCTTCATAGTAAAGTTTCGCAGGTTTAGGTTCGAAAATCAACAAGGTCCAGCGATAGAATTAGAAAATGAGTTATTCTTTTCCTTTAAACATTGAATAAAGCGCTCTTTGATAAAATAGCTATTAAGTACGCCGTCTGCTTTTAAGTAACTGGCTTACGAAGAGAGATTCACTCAATATAGTTCCCGAAACACTAATAGCGACAAATGTGGGAGCAATAGCTTCCCTTATCGCAGAGTGTGTTTTTGGTTGCCTTTTTGTGTAGTTTGGCCTTATAGTTTCGTATTTCCTTTAATCGAATTATTTATTAATAATTTGTGCCTTTGGTAGCCGGAGACTCGTCTGCTCTTGAGAAACAGCACAAAATCAAACATTGATCACAACCGGGGTAAAAAATACTAAAGATAACTGCTTCTAAACAAATTGCACCTGTGATTTCATAATTGATAATTAACGTCTGAAACAAGCCCTTTACACCACCATGCGAAAAAAGTTTCTCCTCAACCATCGTTAGAAAGATAGTTTTGGTTTTACGAATATCATCTCTCATTGACTGCTTTTCCGAATTAGAATTCGGAACCCAGAAAATAAATGAGACAAAAATAAACAAAGATATTGCAATTTAGTAACCTTTCCATTATCACGCTGTAAAAACGATGTTGAAATTGTGATCATAAAAGGGGTCAAAATAGGATATTAAATAATCTTAATAGTTTAAACCATGGGTAAGCAAATCACGGAAGACCTCAAATAAAAAGAGCTGTTAAAAAGACCTAATGTACGTAGTATTGGGTACTTATCGTTTTCATGCATTAATGCCACATGCAGCATCTTTATACCAAAAGTTTATAGAAAAGGAGCTTTTTTCACAAAAAGCAGCGTGCAAATTAATATTAGACCATTGAATTTTGTTTCAGAATTTAAGGCGAAAGTTTTGACCCATAAAACGATCACGATCAAAGACTAACAATCAATTTATTAGGTTGAGTTTGATCGTCCGGGTGAACGTAGTCCTGAATAGGACTGTTGTTGTTCACAGTGACTGAAGTTTCAACAACCTGTGCGGTAGTCATCTTCAGAGGACGAAGATGACTACCTCACAGGTTGTCGAAACGTCAGTCACTGTCAACAACAACAGTCCTATTCAGGACTACGTTCACCCGGACGATCAAACTCAACCTACTTTTGAAATGACTCCTGTGTTCAAACCTTTTACAATCAATTTATTATAAATCTTCAAGTTTGTTATCAGTATGGTATGGAAAGCGTACGAAAACTGAAACACAGAAGTCAACTTATTATATGTAAATTGAATCATGGACTCGATTAACCGTGTTATGGTGAAAAAGACCGAAGGAATTTTTTTTCAATTTTTTTGTCCACATTAATTCAAGACTCAGCCTAACGTGGGCTCGTCATGCACATAGAAGCTAATTGTCAATATGCCATGTACGTAAGAGTAATTAAACCAGAGCTAATATTTGATCCACCGCATGGTAGAACTTCCTTAGGTAAATTATTGCAGAAGGAAGTCATTCACAAACGAAAAAGGACACGTTTGCAAATTGACACAAAATACAGATCTAGTTCTTGGACCTGCTACAAATTAGACCGGAAGTATAAGGCCTTCTTTCCTAATAACACTTTTAGGTTAGGCTTGGACCTAGAAACAGTTGTTATCGGCGGTGGAAGCAGCTGAAAGTGAAGACCCATGATAAAATTCTGAAACATGAACTTGAAATTCATTACAAGTCCTGTTGGTGTAATTAATATATGAAGGACTCGTCATAATGTATTGCATCATTTCTTGGTAAAAAGTGCTTGACATGTTTTTCTACTCGTATGAAAAATGAATAAATTAAACAAAATCAGATAGTATAAATCATTAGTCTACAGTTCGCGGCTTCATTCTCTGATCACTTTTCACAGGGTTAATATCCAAGAGCTGGCAAGATCATGAAGTTCGTGCTTATCATTGTCGCGTCAGTTTGTGCCAACTTGTATTTCTGTACGGCAGGAAATACTTCAGGAAGTCAAGTAAGATAATCCACCATTCGCTAACTTTTCACAACTTAAGTTTCTTATTTTATGATTTAAAAGCTCATTCTTTTACGATATAGTCAGGGGCACCCAACGTCAATTTTCGGAAGATATCTGTTCGGAAGACGTTTTGAGATCTAGAATTTTCGGAACATTTGTTGTAAAATTTCTTGCTTGCCTACATCTCCCTAAGGTTTTCGAACATCTAAAAAATGGCATAATTGCCAATTTTTAACGGATTTTTACCCTAAAAAGGTCACCTAGAATTTTCGGGAGCCTTTTTTCTGGCTGAAATTATCGAAAAAGTAAGTTTTGATCCCTATAATTTACGGATCACTAGACTTTCAGCTAGGAAATCCGAACAGATGAAAACTTTTTAGGGGATAAAATACGCTTATATCTACCTTTTAAATACTAAAATACGTTTACCAATGCTATGTTTATTATAATCATTCTACTGCACTAACTATAAAAGAATTTAAGCTGAAAGCAAAATTGCCGATGTCTAGTCTCTTCAAACACATTAAGCAAATATAGCTCGACAATAAGAAACTTCTCTCAGCGCGCAGGAAAAATAGACTCTGAGTTATCTCGGTGAACTGAGCCACATTTCGTTGATCAGTTAAAGATGAAGTTAATTATCTTTTTAATTCTTTGCACTGGCTTGGTAAGTTAAAAGCTGGGCTACTTTTACATTTCTCTTCCTACATATACTTGCAATACTATAACCCAGTCCATTTGGCGTAAGGAAGTTTCTGGTGTAAAATAAAGCTTACTAAAAACACTCTTATGTCGAAATGTTGGCATTCAATCACAGTTGCTCATTTATTTTTTTCAAAAAACATTACATTTTCTCCAGGTTCGCGCAGAACTTTCCAAGTTTAAAGTTTGCAACAGACCGGTAAGTCCTGAGGTTTTGTTCCTTGGTAAATGGTAGTCCCGTATTGGAGGTAATTGGCACGACATCAAAGATTTTGTTAGTCAAACATGGGGGCCTGAATGTACGATATTGAGAACTTAACTGGTTAGAAAACTGCTATGATCTCGTAGGCTTTTGGTACCATTAATATATTGAAGACTGAATAGGTAAGTCGTTACAAGGTTTTTTGCTACGATGTTAAAGAATTTATTGGTATCTTTTTTAAGGTTTGCATGCCACGACTTTAAAAAAAATCTATTGACATTGACAGATTTATTCATGTTAAAGGCGTCGTCGGTAAAGCTGGTGTTTTATTTTATTTTTCTGTTCTACCCCTTCACTCAGTTATCCGAGGAGCTGTTTTACTCGATTTTTTCTCATTATGTATCTATTTTCAGGACGGAGACGACTATAGTTGCCAAGCTGGATTGTCCTGTGTCCAGACCAAGCTTTTCATCATGAAAGGACAAAAAGCCTACGTCAAACAGTGCGTGCCGGAAGGAATGAAGATCGACGTGGAAACAGTCAACAAGGATCATGATCAAACCTCCAGAAACAGCCGATTATTGCCCGGATTACCTCAGCTACCACGCCAAGTAGGAAACTAACAAAAAAAAGAGGGCTTTTGCAAATAACACTCTTGACACAATTTACCACACTAGAAAGTACTGTAGGCAACCATGGCCGCGACAACTCCTCAAGATGCCGCTCCCAAATCGAACAAAACCCATGGGACTACACCGGGTCTAACTCCTTTCCTTTTAGTGAAAAGTAGTTTAGGCAAATTGGGTTTGAATGTAGACCCATCTTCAGAATTCTCTTAACTGAATCTTGTGGGATTTAAAACAACAACAACAACTAACTACAGGGACGTAACAATCGCTCAGGGGCCACACCTAGCTATATGGTGGGTGGGGATGATGCCTTGCACGCGACCTTTAAGTCCTGTTCGTACCCCTCCCTAGTGAGTAGGTCGTTGGTCAATCAAGCAGATAAGTCCTCTCCAATTATAATTAGTGATGGAGTCAACGCCAACGGCATTGAGTTTTGCGCTGAAAAGTCTCTGTTTCAATCTCAGTTACCGGTAACTAACACTTAATAGCCTTTCCCAACACATCATTTTTAAAACAATTGCTTGTTGTTTCTTAAGCTTCTACAGAGTTGCCGTTCTGAGAGTGATTGCGAACAGAATCAATGCTGTCCTCGCTTTGTCAACCTATGCCTTCCAAAACTGCCAGAGATGGCAGAATGCTCTCTAAAGGTATGTGTGAAAGTCTTTATGTTACTGTCAGCTATACGGGTACCAGATGACTCCACTCGAAAGAGGTTCCCTTTTCATGCCTCGGGTATTTTTCCACGAGTTAATGCCGGCTATGAAAGGGTGCTGAAGTTTGCCGAGCATTAGAGTATTTATAACAGGCGCACCTTTCACCGGCTCTATCACCTGCATTTAATTATCAAATGCTGTAAGAAATTGACAAGAGCACCTTCTGTGAAATATGTACCATTTAGCGGTATACCTGTTCTGGTATGTAAAAAGGTAAGGGGTTGAACTCGGCTCAGGGCTGAGTCTTTAGTATATAACTTAGATGAGTAGCCCAATCCTCCAGGAGATTCCCGTAATGCTGGTGTTCATAGGTTACAAAAAGTGGCTTTAAACAACAGTGCAGTAAGTCAAATGTTACAATATATTCAGTTTGCCCAAAAGAGTGCTTTCTTTTTTCAACTCTAGGAATTACACAACTGTGGCTGTCAAGATGGACTTAAATGCCAAAAGACGGGCGAAGTCACGATTCCGATCATTGGCATCAAAGTTCCGCTGCTGCAGTGCGTGTCGTCCCTCCCAGGCGGAGATACTTCTTAGAAAGCTTTGACTGACACACGAAGTTATAGCTATAGTATACGTAGTTGAAATAAAAAAACACTTTAAGACCCCTTAAAGTCTAAGACTGTTGTACCTCTTGCCTAAGATTACTCTCCCATATATTCTTTGTTTTGTCGAATTTTCCTTTTGAGGAAGAGATAAGTGACAATTTGACAACTAACAATAAAAAGGTGTTGGTTTCAAAAGAAACTGAGTTATTGTGTTGGTAACGGGAGTGAAAGACTACGACATTCTAGTTGTTAAGGTGAATTTACCACCGTAAAAGGGCTGAAAAGGTCAGTAACGTTTCGAGCCGGATAGCCCTGGCCTTTGTAGCCTGCGTGGCAGGCGCAAAAAGGGGAGGGGGAGGGGAAGGGAGAAAGGGAAAAGGGAAGGGAGCCTCCCCCTGTCCCCAATCCCCCTCCCCTTTTTCCCTTCCTCCCTATCCCCTACCCCCTACCCCTTTCGACGCCTGCTACGCAGGCTATGGCCTTTGTAATTCTACCGCAATATACAGGTAAAGGCTCCTCGGGGGGTACACAATAAAAAGCAAGGGGAGGCTCCGCCCAGAAGTCCAACCATACCAATTTTTGACAGAAAAAGAAGACCTTTCGTTTTTCACTGACAAATGGTATCCCTTTCACGTACTAGCTTGGAGCGTTATACCCCTTTCAAATTTTGCAAATGCACCGTCTTTTAAATACAAACAACTCAGTAAACAGAGAAGTTTTTTTGGCTTTTTCACAGCTATAAAATGCGTCTGTCAGGCCTTTTAGGTCCTTTCACAGACCGCAATGACAGATTTCCCTACCCTGTTTCTTCGCAGAAAAATTGTTTGAAAAATGATTTACCACGTAGACGCTAATGTGATGTATGTCGCACCATAAAATGAGATTCAAAAAGGACACCTTTACATAGCAAATGAAGCTTTGCCTTTGGATGCAGCTAAATCAACTCATTGCCGGGGTTATTTTAATTGAATTGAGGTTTTCGAAAGCAAAATAATTATGGCTAATGTCAACACATCCCTCTTGTTTGCTTTCATTTATAAATACTACAACGATGTTAGTAAATGTAAACACATAATTGCAATTGGTCAGCTTATAAACACCCGGACTGGCTATGAATTCTTTTCAGACTTCGTTCTATTTCAATAGTTCAGTAGACATCTCCTGGCTGCCAACATTTGAACAGCTTAGATCCTCTTTTATTATTGTCTTCAGCGATGCT